TCATTAAGGAAAATACTTCATTCTTGGCTGTGTAGGCTCTATTCACTAGATTTCACTACGAAAAGTATAATGAACGGACAGCTCCAGCCGGAATACTTGATTACCGAAACGATCGGCCGAGGTCTCGGATTCTTGGAAGTAGTTATATCAAGCGTTTTTGTAATTAAACTTGTTACCCGGCCGTTTCAGGAAAAAATATTTCCCGCGAACCGCTGATTGGCGCAATGTTGTTTTTTCCATTGTGCATTTGAAATATTGCTGTTTCATTTTTGCAATATGAGCTTGATAAGTGAAAGTCGAGAGTTTATAACTGAAAGACTGCCTTTTAGGTCAGTGTAAATGTATCCATCAAAATTTCTATGAGAATAAAATTAATTAATCGTGAAGCAAGATCTGTGGATGGAAAGCTAGATGATTCACTTTATCGTTAAATAAAGATTTTATTATCTACAGGGTGTTTCGTGTAACTTGACTGGTTACAAAGTGTCCGACGACGAAAAACTTTAAATGATACAGAGCATGTTTTATTAAATCAACCAACGGAGTTCCCCCAAAAGCTAAACCGGTTCTTTTTAAAGGATAAAATGTAGAGAAAATTTTATTTCATTTTATATTTATATTGTAGAAATATCTGTTTTAAATTTGACTTAAAACATACGAAAACATAAATGTTACATAGTGCGTTCTTTCATATGTCAGCTTAATATTAAAATATGTAAAGTCTATAAAAATGAACGGTTGAGAATATTAGAATTACGAAAATAGGAAATGCATTCAATTAGTTTGGCTTCTGAAAGGCTCAGTGATCCATTATTCTTCCAATAAGATGATAAAATAGGTTCAAATTATTGGATCAATGACAAAGTTTCGATGGGTTTCGCTCTAAAAGTGTAGACTAATAATAATTTTAATTATAATTTAACAATAATGTAATGACATACATAATAATTCTTTTATAACATATGTACTTTCAATAGAAATTTTTATTTTAATAAACAACTTTTTACATTATTATTATTACTTATTGAATCTCTCTAATGAAATTATATTAATAAATTTTCAGTTTACCACAGAGTGGAATTAACATAACAGCTTCTCCAAAAAGAAAACCCAAGTATTTTTTACGGTGTTCACAACGTTTATTCTATCCATTTTCAAATTTTTTTTTTAGATAGCTAAATTCTAAATTTCTTTTTTCAACAACAAAACACTCTTGTTCGAGTCAATTTTCGTTCTAAACAGTAATTTACTTTGTCAGATTGACATCGAGACATAATATACTAACATAATTGTTTATTGTTTTCCCAAAAATTCATCGAAACTTTTGCACTCACCCAATACATGAATTCAATGACGAACAGTCTGAATTATTTTTAAGAACAAATTCAGATTTTTAGCACAAACTAGAGAATATATAAAAGAAAAAAATATGTTACGAGGACTACCTTCGTATTCGCGACGGTGGAAGTCGTAAATTATCCGTGAGAAACCGTTAAAACCTGTCGATTAACATATCGATTTGCATTCCGCCTCCGTTCGATATCTCTTAGTTTTTTTTGTGTTCTTTTTTTTCGGTACTTAAACAGCTTGCGAAACATGTTTCGAACGACTAAAAATTTCAATCTACCACCAAGAACACTCGCGGAATTATTGGGCAATAAAGCGGCGTTTGATACTGCTGCGCGGACGAAACTGAACCAAAACATACATATTTCCGCAGTGGGGCCACATACAGTGGGTAACAAAAGTATTCGAACACCCTTTAAAACAGAACAACCTCTTTAAAATTGGCCCAAGTGACTTGACTTGTTTTGTGAAGTTAAAAACATTAGTTTACTAAATGATGTGTAAAAAAAATTTGAAAAAATTGCAATTGGTCGGAATCGCGAAGAAAATAGTAAAAGTCGCTTTTTATAACTTTTTAATGTGAGGCTATAATGAAAATGATTAAATACATATCGAAGATTTATGTTACTTATATACATACTGGAACTTTCATTGAAATCGGTTGATACAGGAACGAGCGACAGGCATCGAAAAATGTAAGCATTGTTAGATTTACAATAGATCAACATTTATTAAATTTTCATTTTTGTCTCAAATAAAAAAGTTGTAAAAAGCAACCTTTACTATTCTAAATTTTTTATTTACACATTATTTAGTAACCTAATGTTCCTAACTTCACAAAAAAAACTCACGTCACTTGGACCAATTTTAAAAAAGTTGTTTTGTTTTAAAGAGTGTGCGAATACTTTTGTTACCCACTGTACACGACCGCTTAAAAGTGTATCTAGAATTGGTTTTTAGTAGATTTCCTTCTTCCAGAATTCTTTCTATTAAGTATACTACTAGTTACCTTTTTCTTTTCTTTCTTCTTTATATTATAATTAAAACTAATATGCGTTTACTCTAGAAATTATCGATCAATGAGTCGAAATCCGCACGTTATTTTTAATATAAAATAAATGTAAGTAATTGTAAGTATACAATTAAAAACATTTAATAAAGAAAAATACCAAAAAAATTAGACTACTGGTAGTTTCTTTCTTTCTGATGATATTCCACACGCTGCTCTTTGATATACTTACTTAGTTTATTTGCAATATCATCGATCGAATAGCCTTCACCACACACACACACACATACTGCAGAACGTTTTTCAATTGATATCATTGCGACTTTCGACATTTTCAGCACCGTTAGAGCGAATGTTGTTTTTCCGAGGGACGAACAAGAAATGACTAAGGAAAAGGTGAATTTCATATTTATAAGCCTTGTGGTAGGGACACTATCCTAAAGAAACAATAAAACCCAAACTGTTCATAGTAGTTTTCATACGGTGTGTTAGGGGGAAAATTAATATTCTCGTTTTATTATGCATTTATGGTAAGCAGTTGGCTAAAACTGATGGGCCCTGTTCCCTATATGTATAATATATACCTACGTATACCATCAAGTAACCCTCATCCGTCCCTCATTTTCCCAACTTAATTTGTCCCTCGGTGTCAATTTGACCCAGTGGTCAAAATTAATACAATGAAGCGAAAAATAGTTATATTTGCAAATTCTTTAAAGTAAAAAATCACGAAGCCTCAGCTAAATTTACCTACACATGACAGAATAACGTCATTTCTTAGAAGAGAACTGTGTCAAATTGACACAAGGGACGGATGAGGGTTAACACTAGAACTACCAGCGTTAAGTGCACACTAAATTATACTGTATAACATATCAATGTCTATAATATATAATACGGTATTGCATAATATAGTGTAATGCTAAATATATAATAAATAGACTGCAGATTTTTATGCAAAATAACATTTTTCGAAGTGATTTATAAAGATAGATGTGAAGATTGGATTTCCTTTCATTTTTTAAAGATTTTATTATGACAAGAGTAAGACAGAACATGTATTAGATCTGATGTTAACTTTACCATTTACCATATTTCACATAGTCGTATATGCTATAAATGCATATAATCCGTAGTCTAATAATACATTACAGGTTGACCTGATTACCTACGAAAGCGTCTTTATTTCAGTAATTGTGAAATAAAAAATCTGAGTTCCGCCATTTTGACGAATTTGGTAGTTCTAGTGGTAAGGGACAATAAAATATTTATCTGAGTCTAAACATTGTCATAAACTCCGAAAATTATACCGTTCGAATAATTCTGAGCGGTACTGTATATTTTGCATAAACTTGGCTCAGGTGATAAGTCAGGTATTGTGATTACTTTGTGCGTGCCGCGGTTCGATAAGTCCCGGTGACCGGAAAAATTATGAATTTTATACATTCGTGTCGTTTGCTCTGGCTGCAATAATATTTTTACAAATATGATTTCCATTATTCTTTTTTAAATTCTGCTTCGATCTATGATATTCGACCGCAAAACATTTAAATGTGGAATAAACAAATATTTAAACACCACGATGAGAGTTATGAAAAAAATGATTTCATTGGATTCGAATAACTGAAAAGGAAGGATAAAATTTCATATTGCGATTCAGTTTTATAATGTGACATAAGAATTTCGAAAAATGTTAAATTCCAAATGAATTTAAATATTTTAGTATTTTTATCGAAGTATTTCGTAAGTAGCGTTTCTTTGAATTTGTTCCGTTACTCAGCTTTTTTACACATAATAATTTAAATATTTTATCTACGAATAATGAATATGAAAGTGAAATATGTAAAACTGTGTGTACACTTTACATATAATGTAAAAAGAAGTTTGTTTATTTGTATATACGTTTGTTCACTCAAATATAAAATTAACATGTCTAACAGGTTTATTATTCAATAGCATCATATTTACAATCCTTTTATACAATTATTTACAGTGCAATACATGCGCGATATACAAAATTAAATAACATTTATATTTCCTGTTATACTTTATTATATTAATTTTTCACAAACTTTCACGGTCCCCGTTAATATTCGTCTGGACGGAATTTAATTCCTTAATATACAATATTAAAATGTTTCTGAAAAAAAGAATGTAGTAAAGATTTGTACGTCAACATAAATATCAATTACCCCTGTTAATCTCAATCTGTTGTCACGAATAATTGCATAAAACACATTGCCAATATTGAAATGCCGATGTTAAAAAAAAAAACAGTTCTAAATATATAAAAAAAAACGGTCCGTCTAATGGAACCCTAGAGAAGTTAACAATTCATTAAAAAGTTCATAATTCTCTCCAACTTCACAGTCGAAACGAAAACATTCCAACATGATATGCACACACGAATAATTAATGCATAACCACTTCCACGAATTCTACACCGAGGCATGCAAAACGCTTCCTTGATCTCTCTCCATCGATCTTCACGATGTTTCCGCGGGTCGAATTTTTTACCAGCAAACCAATCGAATCTTTTTTTTAAAAAAAAAAAACCCAAAATAGCAAAAGCAAAATAAAAAAAAATTTAAACAAATCGAACACAAAATCAACGATCAGCAACTGACAAAACTGATTAACCATCCTCGAAGCTCGACTCCTAATCAGATGTAAAAATAGACGGATCCAAAGGTGACGTAACGTCGCAATTTCTTCCGTTTCTGGCCCCCGAAGCGTTTCCAGGTCTGGAAGTCCCGGCAGATCATTCGCACGATACTAGAACCGACCCACGAGGCAAGATTCCATGAACGAGAAGGATTGAATTTAATTAGCCTCATCCTCTTCCTTCTCCGTTCCGTAACGTTTCGCCGTCATCAACGCCATCAGAAGTTCCTCGAGCAGCTCCTGATTCCTTTCGCAGATCTTCTTCAGCTCCGTCAATTCCCCTTTAATCGTGGAATCATCGACGAACACCTCATCTTCTGGTGGCATCCTCCGGATGGTCAAATAGGGCTCGTTTTTCAGATACGTGTACGTGGTACTGGTGCTCTTTCTGCTGCACAATGTACCAGACATATTTTTCCGATCCTTGGCCACCTTATGCGCGGCGGTCAACAGATCACGCGGTAATCTGGTCTCCCTTGGATTCAACGGTCTGACCGTCAGCACTGCTCTCAACGGCGAGGGCAAAAGCAACGCAGTCCATCGTAAAAACTTCATAACCCGTTTCGGCATCAGACCCAAAAACAACGCGGTCTCGACGTCACAGATCAGCTTCGTTTGACGGACAAGCTTCGCCAGGCCAGCGGTTTTTTGCAGCCCCTTGATGTCGTGCACGGCTATTCCGACTAGAAGATTCATCAGAACTATGGTAACGAACAGTAGGAACAGCACGAAGGACAATTGCGCGGAGACTTGAAGTAGAATCCAAGAGGTTCCACCAACGTCTGTGGATTTGCCATCCTCCTCTCGGGGGAAGAACAGATCCTCGAAATTCAGCTCGCCGGTCATCATCACTAGAACCTTGATCAGACCTATATGGGGGCTGCTGAAGGATTTCGAACGGGGGAATATCACGCAGAAGCTAGCTGTGAAGCCTACAAGGAGGCAAGCGTAGGCCAACAGAAGCTTAAACACCTGCGCCTGGACGCTAGTAAACATCGCCACGTAAGCCCCGAATAACGGTAGCTGACCTATCATCAGCATCAGATTGCTCCAGCCGCATAGTACCGCAAATGCGCCCACGTGATTCTGCCACGGATACGTTCTACCCGTGTAGATAAACGACGTGGCGAACACGCTCAAGATCACGCACCACTCGACCATGTTCTCTGCTTGGGTGAAAAACTGACGTACAGACAGATAGGTCGGGATGCTTGTCAGCTTGCGAAACGCCTCCAATATCGTTAGCACCATTAACGCGTACCACTCGACCTCCAGCAAGGCCGGATGCCTGTACAGAAAACCGTTTATACCGGTGGTGTTCGCGCACAACGGCGGCTGCGTGGTGTCCAATTGCCCATGGGACTCGTTGTAACAATTGTGCGCCAGAGCGGTCATCACCCAACCGGTCAGTATCAGAACGTAGAACAGATAGAAGATCAGCCGACCGACGTAGTACTTGCGGATCTTCTGCCATTTCAGATGGAGGAACGCCTGGCAGAGAGGATGTTCTAAGATCTCTTTGTAGCCTTCTTTCACGAAGGTGCCCAGGTATCTGATCTCACCCTGTTGCTGGTTCATCAATAGGGAATGAAAGTCCAGCCTGAGCTCCACCTCGCCTGTCGCGGACCCATGCTGATGGAGGGTTATCGAGGCGTCTAATCGTTGTTTGAAAACGTTCAACGAAGTCGGTGTCTTTCGTAGAATGATGGACAACGCACTGGTACCGCCTTTTGTTCTAGAACTGAGATCAGCCCCGTGCTGGATCAACACGTCTACGCATTGGGACAATTCGTTCAGTGCGGCTATGTGAAGCGGTGTGTAGCCGTATTTGTCGGTTTTGTTCACGTTCGCCTTCCATGTTATGAGAAATTCAGTGACTTCGTATGCCAACACGGATCTTCCTAGAGCAAGATGCAAGGACGTCCGTCCATCGTTGTCTTCGACATTCGGATCGCAGCCGCCTTTCTTCAGCAATACTTCTACGCACTCCAATGAATGGGACCTGGAGGCTATGTGCAACGCTGTCTGACCCCTGTGGTTTTTCAGACGAACGTTCGCGCCCCTCTCGACCAGCAGATCAACGTTCTCCGCGCAACTGGCCTCAGCAGCCAGATGTAGCGCGGTATCCCCCTTTTTGGTCATGGTGTCCAGCTGGCAACCAGCGTCCAGAAGCACCAGCAGACAACCCGAATCATCCCTATCCGCTACATGGTGTATAGCACCGTACCCATTACAATCTAAATGATCCAGGGTTGGATTACCGGGCGCTAATAATTTCAGCACGTTCAGAGCGTTCGATCTGGCCGCTGCGTGGAGTACAGTCTCCTCGGCCAGAGGCGATTCCTGGCTGATGCCCAACTGAAGGAAATACTGTGCTACCTTGAAAGCGTTCCCGAAAGCGGCATAATGGAACGGCGTGTGTGTTCCTTTCGTGTTCATGTCGGCTCCGTTGGTCAATAGATACTGGACGGCTTCCAGGGAATTGCTGAACGCGCAGAGGTGCAACGGTGTGAGACATTGCTCTTGCTCGGAATGATTCAAGTCTGCGCCACATTTGTGGAGACTGGTGATGAGATCCAGTCGACCGATCAGACTGGCCTGTAACAGCAGTGTGTTCAGCTCCTGCTTCTTGTAGGTCTTGGATACGCGTTGGGGATTGGTCAGGTCCAGTTTGTCCATTTCTAGGTCGTCGAGGAGCTGCAGCCGACCACCGACGCACCTCATGTGTTCCGTTAACAGATTCCTGATTATGTCTTTGTTCACCTGCAACGTGCAATTCAGCTCCTCTGTGTAGGAGCTCTCGCTGGCGCACATCGAATAACAATGCGGCTCCTCGATAGGCGGCGGAGTACCGTACTCGAGACTTCTCTCGTCCGACGACCAACTGCGTTCCGGTTCCGTGCGTGGCGTGCTCTTCGACGCCAGCCAACGCGTCAGCAGCAACGACGTCATGGTGGTGCGTTTCGGGGTGCCCGGCACGGACACGGTCGCATCCTCTATGTCGATGATCCGTTCCATTTGCACCGTCCTTTTCGACGACGGTGACGTCGCCGTGTTATTCGCCATCCTTCGCGGTTCACGGCCGTTACATCATTGATCTACGAAGATATCGTTATGAGTATATGTATAATAATTGCTCGCAAACGTTCTTCGCGAGATGAACGATTTCTGCGGTGCCTCGAAGCGGAAAGATGGAGACGCAGAATCTGATTGGGTTTGTTCGTTAGTTTCTTCCGTACTTCTTTGTTTGTTTGTTTTTAAATTCCGATGGTTCAAGCGTAAAACGTGCGGGACACTTTTGCAGGGTGAATTCTACTTGTGAAATTAAGATGAGAAGCAAGAATGACGAGATTGCGTTGGAGGGGATTTGTTTTCGAGAGAGTAATTGTAGGGAATACACGTGAAATACGTCTGACGCGATGGGTTATCAGTAGACTGCGGATGTTTATGGGAATTTGCAATTTGAATTATTATCCTGTAAACCTAATAATTTGTTAGAAATTCATTTACTGGATGTCTTGTTAATAATAATGTCTTGTTAATAATAATTGTGTAATATGAGAATATCGTTAAATTTCATTAGTCTTACTGTCACTGTATTTTGTATGTTAACATTTGTTATAAATGCATAAACATCCGCAAACTAGTTATTAGAGTAAATCCTCGATAAGTGTTCGAAGGCTTCTCGGGACTGAACATTAAGTATTTCATAAACTAATGGCATTGGTTTCAGAATTCCAAGCTCTATCACTGTTCTAAACTTTACGAACACTTATCGAGGAATTACTGTACTACTCGAAGAGCCGATTCCCATCTAAGGGGCTCGATCAATGATCTAAATCTAGTGAAATTTCATAGACGAAATAAAATGAAATGAATGTAACCAACTCGTGGAACAGTTGAAGAACGCGCCTCTCAAGTAGAATAACACCCATCATGTCAGACGTAGGTATCACAAATGTTTCGCCTATATTTTTAATAATTATAACTCGAAAACGGAGCCCCGAACGCAATTTTGTCGTTCTTGATTTTCGTCCTAGTTTGCTATGTACAGTCCAACCTGCACAAGTGTCCCGTATTTTTATTAACACAAGTGCAGACAGAATAAGTAATTTTTTATGGTATCTCTGAAACTATTGACAATATTAAAAAATATTTCAGACAAAAATTAAATGGTATCAGAGGGCACACTTTCTGATGTAACTTTTTCCTATGTGAACACGTAGAGGTCATATGAAGGTCAATTTTGTTTTTTTAAGTGGAATCGTATGTTTGTTAATGCACTACTTGATGCTACTCGTTATTGCCTACATAAACTATTCAGTCACTTGTGGCGAATTAGTGCATTACAAAATATAAGATTCCATTTAAAAAAAAAAGTTGACCTCCATATGTCCTCTACACGCCCACACAGCAAAAATCTACTCAATTGGAAAGTCGATACTATTTCATTTTTATTTCAAATATTTTTTAATATTGTCCTAAGTTTCGGAGATAATCGAGTGGGTCGACTTAAATGGGACACCTTGTATATGAGGTTCGAGACGGTTAAAGAAATAATTACTATGATAAATCTCGATTTACAATTCTGTAGTAGCTACGTATGAGTCATTCCTTGATTTCATTCGTGAGAGTTCTGCGGATACAGTAAACTTTTCGTGTGTGATTTGAATATTTATTTACGATGAGTGTCAAAGGATTATGTTTAACACGTTAAGCACCCAGCCGATTTTGTTGACTTTCACGATTCACGTCGCGTAATATACTACTGAATTAGCGATAATACAAGCGAACACAGAAAATCGTGACATTAATTACACTAAAAAAAAGTAGAAGAGTGTCTGAGGTCAGAATTTTTGTAAGAAATATGAATGAAAGACAATACGAAACGATTTGGAAAGAAAAGTGCTTAAAAAAAATTGGAGTAGGAACAACAATCTGATCCAAAGTAACAACATTCTGTGATGATTTCAATGGAAAATCTGATCCCTGCTTAACATATTTCAACAATTCCATTAAAAAGACTATTGTATATCATTGTACTGTTCTTCGATAATATTCATTAATATTACTAAAAAATTTGCAAATATTTTTATTATAATTTTCTACTTATATTTCATGACATCAGAAAAAAATTTGTATTTCTCTAATAAACAGAATTGGAAGAATATGAGGCTTCACGGAGAAGTCTCTTACATTGTATTTACAAGCCATCTTTTCCTTTTTTTAAAGTAATTAATAATTTCATGATCGTAATATAATAACAATTCCACAAAATTCATGACGATAACAAAAATATATCATAATAGTTGCAACAATCGTGTTTTTACATACATTGAACCTTGGAAGATAATACGTTTACGCACATAATAAATCACTTCCAAATATTATTAAACGATAAGAGTATTAATAATAATTATCATTACGAAGTAGTATAATAATAATTATCATTCAGCTCTATTAATCTTTTAGTATAAATGAAATTAAAGGAAAAACATTTTTAGACAACACGAAATATACGAAAATACGATGTAAGCAATGATGTGATAATAATTAATTCCAATTAATTCATAATTAGTTCGTACAATAAAAATTACTCAACGACGATTTTGGTTAATCGTAATAAGCACAAGACGATGTGATCTGTGATGACGTCTGCGGCTGGTCACAGACGCATCGCGTGAAGCGCGAATGTCAATTGGAAAATCGGGCACATACATTGATCACCGTGAAGTGACGCGACGTTACCTTTAAATTGATATTATTTATATACAGTTCGAGTCCTTCAAGTCCAAAGACGAGAACATTCTCGACATTCCGGTGATCCATTTCGAAAACCACGAGAAAAGGTGCGTGAAATGATGTTCCTCCATATTTCAGATTATTAAAATATCCGCGGGAACAATAGAATTCTTCGACTTTTTTTTATCACTATACAAGGCTCGAATAATATATTTCAATGATCTACGGTGTAACAAGGGCGCTATTTTTAAAGTAAATTCTTAAATAATTTCCTTAAAAACGTATGAAATTCTATAAGTTTCTTAAAATATCGGAAAATTATCGTAACGAAGTGATACAAACTTTCTCTGAATTGCAAATCGAAGCTCGAAATTCTATTCAAAGTAACTTGTTTACTCGACAAAAAAAAATTAAAGAACCTGACCACGATTGGAATAATCACTCATTGTTAAATATCAAGTCAAAAGTTTTCCTCTAATCTGTTCATTATATGTACTATTTTCAATTTTACGCTGTTATTAAATACTAGAAACCAGTACAGCCTTTTACGAAACATTATTGAACGTCAGAAGAAACTGAAACGGCTGCACACAGTATTCTTTCATCACTGTAACAACAACTCATTGTTTTATCATCAAAGTCTTCGTACAAAACACAAATCATCCACAGACACTGATACAACATACTCACATTTATTTATTTCACTCTAATAAAAACAAACTGAAAGGCTATCGATTTCAATACCTCTATTTCATACAATCACAAACATGATTGTTGCACTACGAAAGTTTTCAAGACGACCTATAACGTTAACGTTACCGATCTATCCCGTTATTATCACATATTCGTTACAGAATTCATGGAATGACTTTTTGACGTTGACAATTATTAGATCGAGTAAGAGTCACGGAAGAAAGTAACAAATGTTTCTCCTTTTTTTTTCTCTTTCTTTTCTTTAATATTCGGAAGAACGGTTCGATGGTCGATGCAACGAATGAAGATTTTTTTTTATGTTTTGGACGAGCTCGTTACCGGATCAGCGAACGTCGAGGCCGAGTGAACTGATCGCGGTGTTTTTCACGTGCGCAGAACTTTTGTCAAATCTTATTCGGCTCAATGTGCCGGCCTCATAACAACATCGTAGGCCTGTCGTACTATCGGACGGCTCGATTAACACTGAGCCCGGATCGAGCTTCTTGCACGTAACGTCCGATCCGAGATCGCGGAGACTGCGATAAATCGCGTACAACAGAAATGCCAACGATCCACATGCTTTTGTATCCTTGTCATCGATCTCCCGTGGTTTTCTTCGTAGTTTGAGAGCATACTTTATAAATTGCATTAAAAGTGTTTCGTTACAATAACGAATATCGTTGCCGATTATCGTGGATCACGATAAATCCATCGAATCGGAAATATAGTCATTTTGTCGTGATTTCTTCTTGATAATAGATGGTCTTACATTGTCAATTGGTGACACACTTTCGTATTAGAAATTCACAGATTTTAGTAAATCGTGAGATCGAAAAGATCACGATAAATCGATCACATACCGAAATTCCTGTGATTTCAATTTTCTTTCACTTATGTAAAATTTCCATTGTTCCGACTTTCAATACTTATGGATGATTTTGATAAATAATGTTGTATTTTCCGAATGCCATTACGGAATCATAATGATCACTAGATGAATCGATAGTAATCGGAAATAACAAATGATCTATTATTTCATTAATTTGCTTCACGTCACTGTATCTTGTTATTTTAATTTTATTTCAATAATTCAGTGCCTTCTGAATGTGTTTATGTCCTTGAAGAATGTTTTTAACGAAGATGATAATAAGTGGGTCTCTACTTCTTTCGACCGGTACAAAATTCCATCTCTCCGTTGCAAGATGACGGACAGGCCATTTATGAAGTTCATGCACGAATAACACTACTTAAAAATCTACACAACCACAATTAAACAACAAAATGTTTGACTATTTTATAGAAAGAATATTCTATACAGTAACATATAATCGTCTTCTCGATACAATTGAAAAAAAGAGAAGCATTGTTAAAAGAATGTAAAACTTTAATTATTACGATTTTCCTAATTTTTGTTTTTGTATATAGAAACAGATTTATTAACGGTAGATCAGACAAAACGCAAAAGACAATGACGATAGCTCTAGAAATGAATGAAGCGAATTATCTCGAACTTGATTACATTCGCGACCATCGTGTTATACAGCAGAGCTAAATCGTTGTTATAATCCTATAAATAGATTCCAGTTTATATTTGTAGACTCACTGGAGTTAATATATAGTATAATAATTCAATCATGCGCGTTTTTCACATATTCGTGGTATTTGTAAAATAAATATATTCTGTGTATACAATTTTAATATAAGAAACATTGTCTTACATAAATGAATATTTCGTTAGAATAATTCAAAACCGTTAAATGCATTACATTGAAAAAAATTGTTATGATTATTTCAAATGAATTTTTTGTATTTTCCTGTTCATAATATACGCACAATATCAAATTTGTGTGACCATGCTAGTGTAAGCAATAATTAAATGTCTGCACAGTGGAAAGATTTTACGAACCATTGATCACTTCGCCACGTGGTATAGAGTGTCCAATGAAATGGGAAGAGTAAATAAAAAAATCCTCAACCCATAAATGCAAATTATGAGACCCGATTTCTCCAACCCAAATCGAACTGTGAGCTGAAGAATAAATTTTCTGCTTAAATACTTAGAAGCATACCAACAGCTAAATATGAACCATAATAAGAAATAGCATGCTTTATCAGTTTTGTCATTGAATAACTATTTATCCTTGAATGAACTGTCGTAACGAGTTCCGTTTTGATCGCATCGCGAAAAGATCTGTATGCTATGATCGCTGAATAAAATCGAAAGTTTCAAAGTCAAGTATTATATAATACTGTACCTGTGTTATATTATTTTACAATTCGAAATTGTATATATATGATATAAAATTAAGAAAACGTATTACATAATATTACCATGTTTCTTAAATTAATGCAACTTAAATGAAGAAAATAACACACACATAATGCATAGTACTTGTTCATTTCCATAGAAAAATATATTGAGTACTTACCTATATCCATTAAACCATATCTTATTATCAAACATAATATTCGTAACAAATCTTATACAAACTAAATGGAAATGTATTAATACTGAAAAAAACAACAAGAAAAGTTCATCTTTTAGATGATGCTTCAATAAAAATAATCACTGTGAGAATGCAAAATTATGTACTTGGATTATTTTAAACTCAAGCATATCCATTGTTCCAACGATTCATAAAGACTTACCTGTTCCCGTTGCTGCAGAAACTGAAAATATGATAGATCCTGTCCATTGATAGTAATTTTTCCAGATCCTTTGCCTATTACCTTAACGTCCGCTACTGCAGATTTCCTTTTATTTCCTACAAAAATGAAACAAAGTTTAACAAAATGTACTAAAGAATTGAATGAAAACAAGCAGACGATATTTTCATTACATTTGTATACATTTTGCTAGTGACGAACAAATGTCTTAATTCATTCTTTAATTTACAAAATAAAAGTTATTGGTGTGGAGTGGGTAAAAAGCAGAGAGCAAAGCATGTGAAGTAAAAATGAAAGTATTATACATAGCGTCTTTGAGGAAGATGGTCTTAAGGGAACTGGTAAAAAGAGATAAAATGGAATAAGAAATATCTTCTAATGAAATAAATATTACTAAAGAAAACATGATAGGTATTAAGTTCATTTCATTCAGAAATACTCTATATAATGCCAAGTCTTTATTTTATATACTTACTTTTTACTAGAATAAAAGGCCTATCATTTTCATCATATTCGAACTGTAAAGAAAAATAACTGTATCACCTTCCTCAACCTGAACAACTTAAATAGTATAATATGAGCTTCGAATGATACATACAGGTGGAAGTTCCAATAATGTGGTAATATTTGTTAATTCCTTTCTGTAGGTCATAATGAAATCAGACACATGTTTTGACATGGAATGGTCAGCCAGTCTATCCAAGGATTTAATAAAGTAATTATACTAAAATAAATTAAAATCTATAACATATCTTCAAGAAAGTTTACTAAGAAGATAGAATAAATAAATAAGATTATGTTGTACTTACTTCATGTGATAAAAGTTGTTCCAATAACTTTTTTTCCAATTCCTCTTTGGAAATCCAATTTGATGTCAACATATTTCTAAAATCAACAGTAATATTAATTACTTTATCATTAGTACAATAAAGAAAACACAATAAAATAACTTTAACTCACATTTTGTTTGCAGAGGAAGGTAGTCCCTCTGCTGCATAAGCTAAATCTTCTTTATTATTTAAATTATTTATGTGCTCAGCAATGTTCTGTATACAAACATATTCTTTGTGTATATACAATATCCTCTCAAATTTGTTTAAAATATGTGAGAAGGCTGACTATGTATTATAAATTACTTACATGAAGTAGATTGTAATAATTTGGTTTGCACGTATAAAACAAGAAATGGTATGGTCTACCAGTTTCATCAAATTCTGCTTCTTTTCTCTCTTCATACAATTTCTTTGGATCAGTCATCATAGGCCTTGCTCGCCAATCATACATACCAGATGGCAATAAATACTTTATTGCTTTCTATGAAAGTTTACAGATTTCATTAATGATAGAAGATATATTACCATTAAATTTTAATAGTAAATCTGATATTTAACTAATTTCAATGTATTATGACATAAGATCTCAATTATGTACTAAAAAAGGGAATGTTCTTTATATAAAACAAATATAACATACTTCAACGTCCTTTTCTGTAAATGCATTAGGATCTTCACCCATCATATTAGCTAGATGTCGTTTTCCAATATTGTATTTTACTGATTCTTTTTCAATAAATTCCTCTGATAATTAAAAATAATTATTAGTTACTTCTTACAAATATTTACATCAATAATAACATGAAATTTTCTGTAAGACTCATATGAAACTTACGATATTGTTTAGATCTCTCTAAATACATTTGCATAGGTTTACTTAATTTGTTTTGTGATTTTTTATAACCCTCAACAACCAATATCTTCTTCATTTCATTAGATAGTGTGGTAGGTTCAGATATATCATTCTAAAATCAGTAGAATAGTATTAGTATTATGATGTATGACAAGCTTAGAAAAATAATTTAACAAATGATAATTAATAATTTATTTATTAGCGACGTAATAATTTAAACTTACCGAATGCCGTTTAATATTTAATGCACCTCCAACTGCACTAATATTATTTACATTCATTACATTTCGAATATATGCAAAACGTGTAAACATTGTCACAGCCATGTTCACCGGATTATTACGATCAGTTACGATCAGTTACGATGAACTGTTTAAATAAGTATTTATATTCTTTTTAAAAGTATATATGTAGACTTAATACATATGTTTTGGAGGGCTTTTGCCTCTTTTTTCTTTTTAATACTTTGTCAATTATTTGTTTATGATTGTTAAACTGATACACGTGCTCTACTGCACAGATACGACAGATACTGCATGTACTGCACCTGCAATTGCATGCGTATTAATGGATATATATTTACCAATTTTATATACATGTGTATTTATGTCAGCATATGTAGGCAAGAATATTTTTGCAAGAATTAATATCTGTATCCCTCTAGTGGTAAATCCTCCAACATCATAGCAGTTGCCCATGTGCGCATTGCATGCTTCCAATGACTTCCTATTGTAATGTGTATAAGTTGTTTTTGTATTTTGTTTGTGTTTCAGATTTAATGATTTAAATGTGACATATGGTGACATGTAATCAGTTAACAGGGCCTGGTAGTACCACTGTTTCCGAATTTTCAAATTACATATACATCTAAATCTATTTAGGTGATAAAAGTTCATTTTATGTTTTTAATAGTACTTTAAAGTACTTTATTTGAATTTATTACGTGTTAGTAGATGTATGTCTACTGTGTAAACAAAAACTACTATATAGTATACATTTGTACATTGAAATTAGGAAAAGTATTTACTATATATTGAAATTAATGTTTATCTCTGTCAGAAGTCATTAATATTTGTAAATAATGATAAAATCGCAAGAGTCTCGTGATTTCGATCTAGCAAGACAGTTATATCAGGAAGATAATCATTTCGGGCTTAGTGAAAATGCAATTATACCAAAACATGTAAGTTCTTTTTTTTATGAAATACACGTATAGTATTGCAACAATTTATATAACAACAGTTTTATAAAATTGATACATTACTAATATTGTTTCTATTTAATCTTTGGTAATGTTATAAACCTGTTTTCAATCTTAAAAATGTGTCTTTAGAGAGACAAAGAAAAATACAAGCCGAGAACATTGATTGATCAAACCTTGGAATTAATTGATCCAACACCTAACATTCATACACTGTTTGTGCAATTTAATGAACGTTTCTTTTGGAACATTTTACTGCCAGTAGAAATCAAATGGAGTAGTAGAATGACTAGGTCAGTAATGTTCGTGGAAATTATAATCTACATATATATATATATGATTCAATATTTTGTTAAATTTATTATTGTTTTGTACAATATAGTTGTGCGGGAATTTGTTCTTTTCATCCAAGAAATAGACAATGTATAATTTCACTCAGTGCACCCTTATTAAAATTGAGACCAAGAAAAGATCTTGTGGAGACTCTATTAGTAAGTTTTCATTATGTTATTTAAATTAGTATACACATTAGTACAAGGAAACAACTTTCTTCTTGATCTGCTAGTTGTATATAAAGTGTTTCTATGATTTGTATATTTTTTATTAAAGCACGAAATGATTCATGGTTATTTGTTTCTTACAAATAATAATCGTGACAGAGATGGACATGGGCCAGAATTTTGTAAGCATATGGACAGAATAAATAAAGCAGCTGGAACAAAAATAACTGTACGTATTCATAATAAATCAAATATCGGCATCTATTGAGAATACTACATTTTTCCTTGCAGATATATCATAGCTTTCATGATGAAGTTAAACTCTATAAACAACATTGGTGGAGATGCAATGGTCCTTGCCAAAAAAAGGCTCCATATTTTGGAACAGTGCGTAGAGCCATGAATCGTGCACCAGGACCAAATGATTTTTGGTGGAAGGAACACCAACAAACTTGTAATGGGCAGTTTATTAAAATTAAAGAGCCAGAAAATTTTAAAGCAAAAGGCTCTAAAAATAAAGAGAAAGTAAAGCCTGCTGCTAAAAGTAATGGGTCAACAAACAATATGTTTAACTGGCTTACTAAACCAACTTCCACTATTACTGTATCACCATCTCCATCTACTTCTAAAACTATCAAACCAATTGAAAAGTTTTCAAACTCTCAGAATGGATTGAAAAAACTTGGAAATAATACAAATAATGTTCATGGTTGGGGTACAGGTGGTCCAAATGGTTCGAATGGTTCAAATAGTTCACCAAAGACTACTTCAGTTTCTGGTACACCAACATTTTCCTGTTCTGGTATTCTTGGTGGTTTTAATACAGGAAGAAGTAATTTGTTGAGCAAGTTTGATAATAGTAATAAACGTCGCAAGTTAAACACGAATACTGAAGCACCAAAAAATACAATAAACACATTTGTTAAATCAAAGTCAACAGATTCAACTAATAGACAATCTAATGGCCAATTAGTCAAAGAAGTGAAGCTTATTGAATGTCCAGTATGCAGTAATTTTGTGTCAGATGGTGATGTAAATAAACATTTAGATTCTTGTTTAATGACAACGGGTAAAAAATCAATTCACAATGTTAGCAACACTAAAAAACAGAAGAATGAGAAAAATTGTTCATCTGCACAAAAAAGAAAGATTGATGTAGATACATTTTCAAAAAAGCAACCGGAGTTGGACAATTTAAAAGTATCAAATTGTCCTGTGTGTAATAAAATTTTTAACCTTAAGGATATAAATGATCATCTTGATAACTGCCTTTCACAAAGTGATACGGATTGTAAAACTGAAACTAAAAATGATAGCATAATTTCGTTGAGTAGTTCATCTAGTGACGATTTATCTTTACTTAACGAGGAATCAAAAGACCTCCAGGGCCAAACTCCTGTTTCAAAATTTCAAACAAATAATACAACTGAAGCGGATTCACACAAATGTTTAGTTTGTAATACGTTTATTCCCCTCGGAACTTCCTTAAACGATCACCTAGAAGACTGTATTGGAAGCGTATTTAACGATGATTCAACTTTGTCAATAGATTGTGATAACAAGGAAGTATCAGAAACAGCTTTAGAAACATCATGTAATCAGAGTGATACATACCCTTGTCCTGTTTGTATGGAATTAGTATTACAATCTTTCATGAATCGACATTTGGATGTATGCCTTAAAAGTACGTGATTATTTAATAATGTATGTTAAGTTATTTAGGGAAATGTCTCTTATTTAAATTTTGTGATCACATACTGCCATTTAGTATTATTTATTCTTCAAATAAACGTGTTTGATTTTGCTATTTAATGCAGTTTTGTTTAATTATTATGTACAACCCTGGTTCCAAGTATTTTTAATTATATTTAGTAAGGAAAATACATATTACAGTATTTATGATATCGATTTATAATATCAGTATGTCTGTAAACTGTAAACATTTCATTTTTTAATAATATTTACAAATGCTTTCAAATTACAATTTCACATTCATCATCAGAAGCAAATACTCATTTCTGAATACATCATAGTAGGAAAATGCTTTGAATGTATTGATAATATCGACTCAGGTATTAAAAATTATTTTCTTAAATAACTTTCATGCTTTAAATCGATCTTGATTTTAAATAAACAGTTTTACAATTTTTCATATAAATTATTAGTATTAGGAGTTTGTAGCGTACATATACCACAACTAAATTCTAGTAAATAAGTTGGGAAGAATAAAAGAATCTGTTCTTGACTCCAATGTATATATAAAGACAGATTAGGAACTATCATATCAATCGTATTTGTATCCAATCTTACCCTGAAACATAATAGTAATATATTAAAGTATTAAAGTACAGCTCACTCAAAACACGATAGTATTATTGTATATACATGTACAAACAAACGGACAATGATAACTCTAAATCTAGTCATTCAATTATCTTGAAAATATTATTTCTTAATTACTTTTTAGAACCCAGGGTGTGGAACATATAGCTTTGTGGTAATGGAATATATATCGTATTATTATACAAAGTTCCTCCAATCTCATTAGGTATAATTCGTACAGTATCTATTTCATCATAGACATTGATATTAACGCCATATAAATCATTGCGTGCCGATAGTGCATATTTTGGATTCTCATTGTAGCACTGTCCAAATAACAATACCTCATGTTTGTTGCGGAACGAATAATTCACGTTGTGAGTTGATCTTATAATCTCCGGTGTCACAATACATGTGCCTAAATTTGGAAGTGATTAAGTCAGGTAATGTACTGTAATCAAATAGAATCAATTCTGCAGATACAAACAATTTACTATTTTTCTAAGAAAATTTCAATTAATGCAGACGACCACTGACTTACTGAAAAATGCTTTCACAAACGACCAGTCCATGTATTTGTGAATTCTAGTTCTTGTTAAGAATGTGTCGATAAAATAATAATTATATTCGATAGCCACTTTATCGTTGTTAAGTGACAATTCACCAATTTCTGATTCATTCGGAAATGTCGCAGTCACAACAAATTCCTTAGACAACGAGCTCCAACTACTGTTTCCGCCGATTAAATCATAAAAGGCACGGAATTTCCAAGCTAATCTCATTAAGCTTTCTGGCAACTAGTTATAATTATATAGTTGGTATCAGAATAAGTCTTTTACTTCGTTAAATAGATATATAAATGTAAACTTACATTTTCATGTATTGCAGTGATTTGGTATTTTCTTAAAGTTGATAACTCCCTCGAAGCTTCGTAGCATGCATCAGAGAATGGTGTGAACTGCTTTCCCTTAGATTGCTCTCGACATTCCCCATATGGCCATTGTGTTTCTTTAGCTTTTTCTAGTTGATCATTACTGATTTCACCGAGTAAATTCAATGTTACCGTAGACCCGGCACATTTACCTTTTGCTGTATCGGCAAGTCCCCAAACAGCATTTAATACTATTCTAGCTGGTTCACTTGGTTTAATACTAAGGAAGTCCCACTCCCAAGGTATCTCTTTTTCTGCTTCTAAGCAAAACTGAAGGACAAAATATATGACAACTTATATTTTCTTATGACTTTATAATGCACAAAGTACCTTAAAAACTTTTTGTCCTGGTACTACTTTAGTCGCTTTAACTTTCATCATGTCAGAGATCCAACTCGTAGCCTCGTAAAGTCCAGCTAAATTCCACTGCTGAAGAATCTCTGATGTTTCAGCACTGCGACGTGTTAAGGAAAACGTATGATGACTTGGACCTTTGATATATTCAAACCTTACCTAACAAAACATATCCAATGTAAAATTTACAACTTGGATAATTAACGTATATAAACTGGTAATATACTAACTTGAGTTCGTTTTGTATCAATTGTACTAATATAAGCAGCTAAACCACAACTACCTTTTGGTGGAACGTATGTGTAGTAATCTAAGAAATGAAGTGCTGTTAAAGCAAACTGCAGAAATGGCCAAATACTATAACAATTTAGAATTAACATATAATTAATAATACATATAATGAAAATTTTGTAATAAAAAAAATGAAAATGTGGTAAAATTAACGTACGGATAATTAGCTTGATGTGACGAAAATACATCACGAATTAATTTCTCTCGTGATATTATAGCTTCACAGTCAAATAATTTCAAGCATACTTGGCCTCCCAATTCTGTTAACTCAACTTGAAGCAGCTGTACATCCTACCAAAAAATATAATGTCTTTAAGACTGAAGATTATTAATACAAAAAAAAAATTTTACTTACTTCTGGTTTATATGTCGGTGATTTGTTAACTATATACAATTGGGTGCAATTGGGACATAGTTTTTGTAATTTTGATTCAACATTTGCACCCCTTATATTCGTAGATGTTCTGGCATGAACTGTGAGACCCATTTTAAGATGATCTATAGAAATACCATTGTGTTTTCAATATAGAATATTACAAATTCTACTTGTACAAAATTATTAAACAAATATCATTCGAACCTTCAGGAGTATTATAGGAAATAAAGGGTCGATCTTCAAATCCAAGTGTAATATTGACTGGTACATACGCGTGAATGGAATGTGCCCTTTCTGCACTATGCCATACATTTATTAAAGGATTATAATTTTCAATTACTTCTGACCTATGAATGGACGTTCTGAAAGAAATTAATTTATTAGATAAAACAGTAGAAAAAACGATACAACTATAATCCATTATTAGTTACCGTAATAATGTAGTATTAATTATTTACCGTAGTATGACATGATTATTACGACCAATTGTAACATGTGTAAAATTTCCTCTCATTGAGAATAACGATGTAGTGGTCACTGCAATTCTAGCATTTGCTCCTAAATCTGTGACTTGCATCGATTCTAGTGTCACAGGTACGTTGATACGTTGTTGATTAACATGAAATTCTACGTTTTGATATATATGATACAGTTTACTCGGTAAAGATGAGAGATCTAATAATAAAACATAGTAGTACATTGAAAATATGCATATACATTTTATGGTATACTGAAATATACATTTTTAGAAGAAAAACTTTATAAACTTACACTTAAATCCTGATACAATATTTGTTTCGTTTAAATGAAGACATAGAACTGTTTTCTCTTGAATACGAGCAATTACTTCTAAGTGTACATGATTAGTTTCCTTCTGATCCACTTTGAATTGCTTTAATATATCCTTAACTTGAGACGGACCATCAAGATATGTTGATAATGACTGTAGAAGGCCTTCACCTTTTATGTACAACTGCATGTACATAATGATTAAAACATCGAAATTGAATACTATATAAAGCTATGATACTTTGAGATAATACTTGCAGATAAATGATTTATATTAATTGCACTTCCATAGGTGTTGAGGGTCACATATAAAACCTCAGGTATGTTTGTCAAAGGATTGGCAATGACAATACCATCTATCATTGCTCCAAACTTCCTATATGTATCTTGATAGTCAAATAAATAATTACCAGTAATTAAATACTGATTTTTCGGAGATCGATGAAGTACTCGTGTAAATTGTGCAGCTATAACACCTCTAGAATTGTAATCGCGAAGAAAATATAAGTACATTTAAAATTACAGCATCTAATAATTTTGCAGAAGAGAGAATCATGATATTGTTTATCTACGTACATATGAACGTAACAAGGATACGTGGTTCGTTCCATGGATTTTAAAGTAGTATAAAAATAATTATACAAATGCTGATTGGGTTCATTTTGCATATACCAATATAATGATATCAATCTGCTTGGCGTAGGACTAGAAACAATCAGTAACGTTAATGCAGCCACTCTTATTTCTAAATGCTCAGTTCTATTTATTAAAATTGGCCAATAGACTGGATATATCTGCGATAAAAAGTCAAAATATATAACAATTAGTTATATGGGAGTAAGAAAATTAGTTACATACAACATCAGGTCTCAGCGGAGCTGTTGGAAGTGATGCCCAGGCAGCAAGAACCCGAAAATGACGTGATTCTGCGTTATTACCACTTGCAATAGGTTCTAAAAATTCAACGACTCGTCCTAATTGTATGTTTGCTAATCCCTCGAGCCAAATCATTTTCTTCTCGTACTTCTGTGACTCTATGAATTATTTATTATTATAATAATGAGAAATGGAATATAAACGATATTCAAAATTCATGGTTTCATAAATTTCAGTACTACTGATCACATACCTGTAAATTTATCCAAGTATAGCCGTACATAATCATCTAACATTTCATACGGACAATACAATAAACATGTTTTGTAGATCAGTGTCCCATATGTAAGAATAGCAGTATTTTGGACTTCAGCAGAAATCTTTTCTGGTAGATTTAGAAGTGTCTGTAGATTTACTAATAATTGAACATCAGGCTTTCGGACATGAAACGGTAACTGAGTAAGAAGTTGGATCGCAGACATGTCTGATACTTTTTTATCTTGTATTAATTCTAGGATGAATAATGCAGCTTCTTTTGTACCAATTTGCGGAAGAGCTTCAAGAAACATATTCCTATAAAATATAAATGAATGTAACAATATATCTTATTCTGCGGAATTTAAAATCTACGAATATGAAGTTAACGAGTACCGTACTGTTTCTTCTTTGTAACTTGTTCCTGAAATTTTAGTATATGCAGCACGTAAATCAACAATATCTAGCATCTGAAGATAATAGAATAAAATCGAAATTGTTGTGTTGTGTAAATTATCAGTCTCTGTGTCCAAACCAGGGTTTTCAAGTCTCTGGCTTAATCTATCTAATAAAGTTCCTATCTACAATGTAGAATTATCATTGTGTAATGTGGAAATATATATTAATTATAGTAACTAATTATAATACGTATTTTAAATAGTGATTTAATTAAACTTACAGATTTTAGAACAGTAATTTTGTCAGGTGTACCTCTACCTTGGGTAAGATCAAAATCTGGAAGTTCATGTTGCAAAACTTTAGGGACTAAATTTTGCGTAGGTATTTTATTAACTATATCTTTCACAGAAATTAACTTAAAGATTTGCCTGTAAAACAGAAAATAAACATAAAAATGTAAGTCAATCGTAAAAGTAAGAAATAATTCGAGAAATTTTGTTGAAATAGAAAAAATTTTAATTCACCTTGTAAAATGAAATTGTGCTTCTCCAAAACTTTGAAAAGGTTGAACATATATTCCCCCAGTAGCATTGACAAATAAAATTTCGTTTAAGGATTCTTTTACCTTAACTTTGTACAATCGTTCACTAGATTTTAATATTGCATTCTAAGATTATAGGAAATCTACTTTAGTAAACCAGTTTATCAGACATTGTTTAGTTCCTGTATCTAAAATATGTACATACTTGATCGGCATTAGGACACTGCATTTTAGGAACATTAGACCATGTGTGATGAGGATGACCAAAACATGTTCGAGGATCTACAAATTTTCTTATCACCCATTGATCTTCTTCTTCAGGATTAGCAACATATTCCATGTTACATTCACCATAATGGTTTCTCTACAATACAAAGATAATTGTACCAACAATAAATAACAGATAAATCTTTCAGAAATATGTAGCTACTCACTTCAGTCGAATGAAAAGCTACTTCCTTCTCTAAATTAGGAAGATCTAATTGGAAAATTCCTGATATACTCCGTTTTATATTTACAGACCATGGGGATGTAGCTTCTGTGCTGAAATTTTCGGCAAGACCATTCCCATACGTAATTTGAAATGGTTTCAGAAGATCAGCTATATCATCGGTAGTATCTTGATCTTCTCTCTTCTCCTGCATCTTACCATTCCAAATAGTCATTTTTAATGACTCTAACTAATTAAAACCATTAACATATTATAAAATATTATTTTAAAGAAAATAGTTAGAATATAGCGTAATTATTGAAAGAAATGTTTAATACTTTCTTCTTGTAAATTATACCTGCATTGTAGCTACATTTTCTTCTGCTTGGATTACAAGTTTTCCATGAAAGCCCCAAGAAGATGCTGCCTCAGATGGCAATAAAACGCCAGAACTTGAAAGTGCATTATAAGAGTATGTATATTCTTTTCCTGGTTGAAATAAACCGTATGCAACATTGTTGTTACACAACAAAAGAAAGACACATACACTTGTCCCCAATTTATGTATCAGTACTTGTAACATATAATTGATATCTGAAAGCCAAGGTTTTTGTTAATTAATGTGTATATACAATATTCTTCAGTTATCCACATTAATCTTACTAATTTATTGTGTTTAATAAATAATATTGTTATAAACAATCTTGACAATGTACCGATTATATGTAATTTTTTAAATACAATTATAGTCTTCTGTTATAATTACTTAGAATATAATTATAAAAATTACATTAAGAGTTTTAAGTCATTTTTATAAGTAACTGGAAATATTTATTTTTCATGGTGTCGAATACTGTTAAATAATGCATTTCAATCAATGCAATAAGTTATTAACATATTAATAAAAAAAATGAATATCGATTAATTATATATTTGCAATTGTAAATAAAAATATATTCTGTACCTGTGAACCTCATGGTGTGCAGTGTTAGCTTAATAAAAGTGAACTGAGTTCATAGGAGTCAAGAGATGACCCTTACTGTCTCTATCTCTGTGACCCATGAACATGTCTTGTCCATCTGTGTGGGTAAAACTTATCTCCTCTCTAAATTATCTTCAATCGTATAAATTAGCCTATTACATTTTCTCTGCATATTTTTATGTAATGTATGAATCATAGCACAGATTCTGTTTCTCCAAAAATATTACTTGCCAAACGAATTTATCTTGTATTATTAAGTTAGTGAAAAATTATTTTTGCATTACAATTCTTTTAAATATATAATACAATAATATAGTCTTACTCATAATGAAAACATTCTTATAAAAAAGTAACAAAAATGTTTATTAGCATGTTATTTAATGTAGCTACAATAAGAAGTGAGGCATAACATATATTACCTCATATGTTGAAATTTCTGCACTTTAAGTATAAAATTTACATCATATATCTATTAAATACTGAAATGCGAATAAACAAATGGCAGAGTTATTGTTCATGTAATTGCTGATGATTTATTAAGTAAATAAGGCTATTAATCATAGAAAACCAACACTACACTCAAGAAAGAAATAACTTAAGTACGTACATGTAGAATTTTAATGAATGAAATGAAACCAGATTCATTGCAAAATTATTAATTTTATTGTTTTTAGATGTAATGAGAACACTAACCACAATCTGATATTTACATATTTATTTTCACATACTGTTCTTTCATATTTATAACTGCTGTTGGAAAGTATACTATTACCAGAATCTTAGTTAATTTATTTCTATACAAAATTACATTTTTATATATTACACAACTAATTATTTATACTGTGATTCGGCATGTACAAGTCCTCTCAGGTGCGTACAAAATTATAGATAGGCGGATTAATGAATATCGTAAAATAAAATTACCGTAAAATATTATTCAGAAATGCATACAAGATAAATACATTACAAAGGCTTGATTATTTTCAGAATGGACTTCGAATATTCCCAGGCTTCACTGTAAAAGTGAACAATTAGTTTACACTATATGAACACCTAACATTATATTCTATTCATTAATGTTACATATTCTTGATACTACAAACAGTGACTGTTTTACACTCGAAATTAATAGCTTAAACTTATATGTCTGATATTCTAATTCTTTCATTTTATTTTTATAATTACGAAAATTATAAAGTAAAGTTGGTAGAAGTTGGAATTAACAATTTATACTTACTTATGCGCTGGATTCGCTTGATCTAATTGTTCACTAAGTTGTTGAATAAGCGTAGCAAACATTCTTAGATGTTCTATTGTTTCGCCTTGCAACCATGCACGAGGCAACGTACTCATTACCTATTAAACAGATGTAGCACAATCGTTTATTTCGTTAACGTTTAATGATAAATCATTTGGAATTATAGAGTCAATGTTTAAAAAGAAACTGTACTTAACATCACGTATCAGATATTAAAGTATTCTCAACTTACCATATTTGCTTTAAATAAAGCATCAGTTGGAGCAGACACTCTTAAACCGGCTAAAAGATATCGATTTAATAATGAACCAAGTGCCAAATTTTTCAATTGTGTGTCTCCAAGAAGGCCTTGCCAACTTAATAAATTTCTCAATAGTTTTACAGCCATCGCAAATTGTCTTTGGAAAAATTGATGTTTAGTGTCCAGAACTCTGAAAAAATTGGTATTACCGTTAGCACTGATAAAGTATTATTGACATTATACAAAATTTATAGAATGTATACTCACTGTTTCGGAAAAATCGGTATGAAAACATCATTCTCAACTGCAGCTTTAATTTTCTCTAATATGGCATTAAATAATGTTTCTAATTGTTTACTTGTGTCGTTTAAATTCGGATATTCCCTAATAAGACGATTTACTGTGCCTACAAGTCGTAGTGTCTGTGACGTAGACATTGGATCCCAAATTTTCTCGACTACAGCTATTAAAGAGTAATAAATAATAATAACGTTTACACATTAATGAAGGAAACTAATATTCTAATTATACTAAATATAATAATCTTACATGTTAATCTAGGCAGGACAATCTTTTCCACTGTCGATGGTACCAATCTAACATCTGGATCCCTTTTAAGTGATTCTTCTGTTTCTTTATTATCTAACGCGTATACCAGCAATGTGTTGTACCATTTTGTTCTTTCTATATCAGCGCTTTCCTAAATAAAACACGTGAAATTTTTATTTTCCACAATTACACATTACACAGTACATGAAATCTGAAAAAATTAAATAAATACCATAATTGGATTCCACGTAAGCAATTGCAATCTAACAATAGGGGATATCATTTTAGGTATACATAAGGAAACATAAGCCTCCATATAGGCGTCTTTATCTGTCTCTCTCCAAGACTCAAATTTCGATAGTATTCCTCTTAACGTGCAATAGTCATCCATGACATCAGCAAATATGTCTTTACTTTCGTTATCGATCTCATCTAAAGTGAACATACAAAGAACATGTTATGTAAAGAGGACTAGAAATAAGTACAAATTTAAACTACTATCGAATGCTTTGTCAATCGGTTTCTCTTATATAAACAACTTGATCGAATTTACTAAAATACAACCTTTCGTCTGTTTAAAAGCAAGATTTTGCTGTTCAGTGACTTCATCGTCACTCGACATTCCGTCGATGTGTTTCGGTAATGTCGGAGCTAATTCTCTAGCTCTTCTTCGACGAGCTCTTCTTCCTTCTCTTTCTGTTGCTCGACGAATACGAGCTTCGACTTCGGGACCTCTTCGTATAGGTTGACCTCCTAAGATTGGTAAAAAAAAGTTTCTGTTAAAATCGTGCCAATTTTACTTAATATACTTTCTCATGCTTTCAAAGATAACGTTTTAATGCCTTTGATAACATTGATATAACTGGACAGTTACTTAAACTTATGATATACAAATATACTAAAATAACTGACTCGCAGCTGTTGTAATTTCTTCCGCTTGATCTCTTGTATCCTGCCGTCTTCTCTCCATTAGTTCGGTCGCGCGTTCACTATAAAGATCTAACCAGCGTTGCTCCAATCCGACAACCAGAGGCAGCTAACAAAAAAGTTACACGTTAACATTCACACAGTGAATTAATTCAATGACTCTGGGAATTACTTTTGTTCCAAAAAATGTGCATATTAACGCATTTCATTAGCTTTTAATGTTTTTAAATAATCGAACGTAGAATTTTCAGTGTATAATTAATAATATTTACTTGTAACATTTCCTAGAACTTAAGATGTAATTCCACAGTCATTGGATATCTTTTGCTTAGAAACAAGTTGAAAATTAGTATCCATTTACTTACCACTTGCATTACATTTTTTCAATTTTTAATACATACTTAAACGTAATTTTTATTCTATTACAAACAATATTTTTATACAGAGAAGATACAGACCCCCGGCAATGTCACTATACGTCATGATTGTCAATTTTTTGCGAATGTTCAATTTTTAATATGCATTTTTCTTTGTTGTAAACAAAGTAGTTGTAAGTGGACAGAAAATAAAAATAACAGAAATGGTTATATTTAAAACGTTCAAATGTGTCTCAATGACGAGAAGTACGATTTCAAACACTTCTTATATTTTGAGTAAAATTGTTAGAAATAAGAACTATGTGATAGCTTTTAACTGCATCTAATAATAAAGTAAATTCATATTAGAGAAGGAAGGTTACTACATATAGTTTTATATAACAGTAACAGACTGCCGTTCTCTATCTCGACAAAAGAAAGACAATTCTTGCAAATGGAACAGAAAAAAGAACGTAGAGTAAGAAAAATGCATTACTTCTAATATGGCTGGATGATTTACACAGCCGAAAATTGCATGGAAACCCCCAGTGCACATTAAGAAAACGTGACAGCGTATAAACCCACCTTCTCATCAAGACACTCTACCAAGTCAGTGACATACCCACGCAACTCTTGGTAATATCTGAAGCGCTGTGCAAGCTGCGGTGCACGGATTTCACCATCGTCCAACTCCTCTATAGTTTGCCCTAACTCTTGTTCTAAACGATCCTGATCTAACTGATGACGTCGATGTACCCCTTTCAAACTGTCCAATCTAGAAATTAATTTTTCATTTTTCAGTTTTTTCAAAATCGTAGCTGTCAAGATATAGACAGAGAACGAAAAAATAACCGAGGTTGTATTATTAAAGACAGATCATTTATTATTAATAATTTACCACCTTGCACGCATCTTATTGACAACTTCGTGTGGAGTAATTGGTACTATCTTTGTTGGATCTGGTGGTTGAATTGTCGGTGGAGGTGGCGGAGCTGGCATCATTACCATTTCTAAAGGTACTCCACTTCCAATTATCTGATTCACATTAATACCCAACGAGTATTGCTGCTGCATCATAGAATCTTGTTGCGCCGCTGCAATCTAAATATTTTTTTTTATAATACATTGTATCAGAAATTTAACAGACTAATATGCAATAACGTAAAAAATTAATAAAATGATCGCATGCAAACGATTAATCGTTGGAGAATTTAAAACGGAATAAAATATTACCTGTGCACCTGTTACACCTTTCCGAATTTGTTGAGCTTCCCATTCTTCTTCTTCGTTTTCATGCTCACTTTCGTCGTCTGAAACTACGAAAAAAAAATGCACATTATGTGTATTATTCTTCACTATAATTGTAAACACAAAAGAAGGAGGACTAACGTTTTATTGGAACTTGCGAGGCGAGAAATGCTTCTCTTCTCTTTTCTTTATCGCGTGCTTCAGTGTTAACGGTCATATCAATTCGATCTTGAGAATCATCGTCGTCACTTCTATCATGGTCTTCTTCCCTAATAAGTCTTGATTTGCCCTTATCATCGCTGTGAAAATTCACACGAACATTATTCATTTTCCCAAAATAAATTCGGAAGTTATTGATAATTCAATTATCAATGTTTATGCTATTTTAAATTTTTTTATTACCTTTGTTCTTCTATAGGAATATAATCAGTTCCTAATTCTCTTGCCTTTTGTCTGCATTTTCTGGCTGCATGGATCATAGCAGCATCGGGTATGCAACCACCTACAAATAAACAATTAATGTTGTGTATATTATAGATTTTCTGGACTGTTTAGCATTTAGTATAACAATAAAAATAAAAAGTACATTACATACTTTCAAGAAGAATTTTCATTGTGTCAGCTTTGTCCGTATTTCTTCGAAACTTGTGACTACGTGGTTCATCGTCCTCTTCATCGGACGTATAGTCATCCTTTCCAGCTGCCAACGCAGCTCGTCCATTTAAGATTAAGGGTCCCGTGTTTTTTATTTTGACCTAGTAAAATATTAATATTAACAATTAAACGACGATCACTAATTATTCAATATTGTATTATACTAAAATGAATGTTATATATTGTAACAAAATATATTTTTCGAGTATCTTTCTATCCCAAATAAATAAACAATTGTCAAATATTAAAACAAATTATTATGAAAATCTTTTATAAAAAGATTTAACTTACGATGCATGAAATGCACAATGTGTAATTTAATACAAGTAAGGTACATGTTGCTTTATGTTTAATGCATTAATATAATTATATTCCACGATCGATGGATCAAACAAATGTCGTGTTTAAAAAACAACATAGCTTTTAAAACTAAATTTATGAGAAAGGTAGACTGGAATGCACAAGTGTATAGTGAAAAAGTTCTAATAATAATAAAACATCATAGAGATAGCTTACTACTAGATCATCTGTCTTTATTTCTAAATCTTTTTCCTGTTTAATGGACATGTTTGCTTGCTCAGAGTCCACTTGCATTTTCTCTTCACCTTTCTTTTTTCTCCTCTCGTGATCTAGTTGTTTCATCAATTTTTTGCTCCTTGATGACTTCTTCACTTTAAAGACTTCACCATCATCTGCTGTAAAATATAATATCATTAAACTTCATGTAATACGAGTGTTTCTTATCATACTGTTAATTTAATAAAAATGCACATAATCACATTCTACATTTAGTTACAATCATTAGAAATTAAATGTTGCTACACATTTATGGAATAAATAATACAAGTTTTTATAAAAGATGACTTTATTAGAAATCATACATTATTATACTTGAATTGAAGATTTTTGACAGTAGCAATTGAAAGAAAATTAATTGTTCAATAGAATCACAGAGCATCATATGGATACCGTAATTCCATTATTAATATTTTTGGTCAGCTAGAACTTGCAAACTAGAGTACAGGCTGAAATAAAAACTTTGGTATACAAGCAAATATAAATTAACTTAATTTGTTGTCATTTATTACATATGTATTACGTCGAAGGAAAGGAGTGCTTACAACATATGTGGTGTTATAATTCTCGAAAAGCACTTATGTACAGGCTGTACAATTCTTATAATTACATTAGGGATTTTGTGCATTTTCAATGCACTTAAACATATAGGACCCTATAAAATAAAGAAAATTAATAAAGTTCAATGATGAATCGATTTCAACATGAAACTCTTCATAAAGAACGTAAGTTTCTATTTAGTTCACGGTTTTGTAAGTCAGGCTACGAAAATGTGATTTCACATGAACACCCGTGATCTGCTTATAGTTAAAAAATCAGAGTTATGAAACATTTTTACAACATGTATCTTGTGGCTCTATGTGTACACGCGATCTAGCATTCACCTTCTTCCAGCTCCTCTCCAAAACTAAGGAGCGTCTGCTTCGGCTTATCCTTCTTCTTTGTTTTAGATTTTAATGGTTGTGTGTCCTCCACTTCCATTCTGTTTTCGTTATCCTCGTCATCGTCGTTGAAGTGCCGACGACGGATATTCCTCTTCGGTTTATTGAATAATGACATTGTCCCTAACATGAACCAGTCCGTATAGAAATTTCGCGCATACACTTCCACCCGTATTAATTTCTTAAACTGTTAACGATAAACGTATAAGTCGAAATTTCATGACGCACGAACCGAGGAGAAGGTAAATTTGTTGAAACGCGCATCCACGTATTCGTACGGTATATTTTTCAACTCGTAAATACAAGGCAAAGACGAGAAAAACGCGACACTTGCATGAAATCGTAACGTGAATTTGCGTGAATGTCCGCTGAACACCGTTGAATAAGAATTATGCTAGAATTGGATAGAATTGATTTTGACTACGTGTTTCAAAGTTTATATAGTTACCGATAGAGGGATACGAACGTCATAAAGTTTTCACTTGTTGCGTATTCGCTTCTATCGTTCATTTGATTTAGAATGCCATCTATATTATGTATACTGTATGTTCTTTTAAGGCGCTAATTCAACTCTTAAAATTAATTGATTAAATGTCAAAATATAATGTTTATTAATTAGTTGTTATGGAATTGTTCATAGAATAGGTGAAACGCTCGTTTAACAGATAAAATTGTCTAATCACATTAGTTGTTAAAGATTTTATTCATAAAATTTGTTAATAAAAACAGAAAATCGTCATGCATAAAAACAAATAGGAAATGAGAACGAATTTCAATTAAGAACCTGATTCTGATATCAAATTGTAAACCTGTATTTAAAAGTTATAAATATTTGCATTGTTAATTTCTGTGTTAAACGAAATTATATTTCGTTTAATTTTATATTAATAAACATAATAAGTTGAAGTTAAAAGAAGAAGTTCTCCTTTACAAATTGGAAATAATAACGAGCAAAGCGGATTATCGCTCCACGGGCATTAACCCAGCTCTTTGATTTATATTTTCCCCAAATCTGGATGCAACAAATTGGTGACAGCGATAGGATTATTTGAAAATAAATCACGAAAGATTGGCCGGCTCATTATTATTCAAGATCTGATCTGTGCAACCTCTCTCTCTTGAGTTTTCTGCACGGTTTTCCCAAGGGCAAGGGTAAATACCGGAGAACTTCTCCGGGAGAAGGATGTTTCTAGTGGCCGTGCAAGCATATCCTGGAATAGAAGAATATTAGAAGAAGGACAAGAGAGAATTGTCTAGATTGGCTTAGCTTGAAAAGAATTGTACGTGTGTATCTCTGTGTGTATTGCACATGTCAGATTCTTCGAGAATACTCTCCGTATTCTAGAATTTTCATGAACACGTGGCTTGATTAACAAAAACCGATCAAGGATGAATGCTTGTGTGCGTGTGTGAGTTACACGTGGCACGTAGCAACGGGTTCCGGAAAATCCTGGAAGGTTCCAGATTCCAATTGATAAATCAAATAATAAAAATAAATGATCCAGTTTTTCTTAGATTTTTAGGGATTGGCTATACTTATGCAGAATGATGGTGATTCAATGCATGCCTGTATTGACCAGCATTGTAAAAACAAATCTGTATATACACAAGATGAGTGGTCCAGATTCATGAGAGAATTTAAAATTCATAATCTATATTCTATATATTGTCAAAGAAAAGTGAATGAAAACAGTATAGAAATGAATATTTTGAAACGGTATAATTCAAAGCAGGACATTATGGAATATAGATTACAAAATGCCTACAGTAGGTACTAATATTGAACTATCTTTAAAAAAGAAACAGGATTTATTAACAATGTTTCATCCCAACAAAATTTATTCCTTTTTTCATAATAATATAGTTAATTAAATATATTAGTTTACGTTTGTTTATATTTGATTGTTTCGTTTATTTCCTTAACCCTTTGAATCCGAAGAATTTTTGCCAAAATATGCAGAACGTATGTACATACTATGTACACCGCCCGGATTCAAAGGGTTAAAACGTTCATTTTAGGTAAAAGAAACGTTTACCTTTTCATTTTTGTAGAATGATAGGCAACCTATTTAATGTGATGGTTTTCATAGCTAGAATTGAAACATGCTACTTTTCGCGACAAGAAGCAAACCGTGCTACTTTTCGTAGCGAAAACGCACAACATGCTAGTCTTCGTCGCTATACGTGAAAATATGCTGCTTTATTCTAAGTAATTGTGTTATGATTGTTGTTGTGATATATTTTAATTGTGTTTTGTTTTGATTTATTTTAATTGTTTTTTATTTTGATTTATATTAAAACTGTAGTCACTAGTAAATGCACTTTATCAGTATGTAACATAATAAAGATAATTGGATATATAAGACAATAATGAAATAATAATAAAACATAATAGATAAAAATACTTGATTAATTATGATGTTCTTCACATTTATTCTATCATACTTGTTAGTAGTCATTTTCTGATTTTTTAACATCGAGTAATTAAAATTTGTCACCACTGCAATTAGGAATATTTATAATAAGAGTAAATATACCTAATGGTATCCAATGTAATATACATATGTGTTCAAGAGCTGTTTTATATTAAGTATTAAAACATACTTGTCAGTAAAAATGTCTGTAACATTATCAGTAAATTTTCTTAGTAATCTTTACATATTATGATTTACCTTAGAAAAGACATGTAATCACATATTGGACTATATCAATCAATAAAATTTGTTTCGCAAGATTACACAGACTACACAAATAATAATTTTAAATTGAAATACGATGTTATTTAAAACAAGTTTAGTATACACATGTTAAACAACATACAAAGTAAAACAATATTATTCCCTCGATATTTACAAAATTTGATTTCAATCATTATTCCGTAAAACATTCTAATGTAATATTAATCAATGTATATAATATTATGTAATATTATCAATGTATCAATAATATATCTAATGTATAATGTAATAATGTGTAAAATATTCTAATGTTATATTAAAATATGTATGTGAAGTTCTCTATGTATTAAAATTTTACAATGAACTCCTCACTTATGAAATGTCTAGTTTATCTGTAAATTGGTGGTTTAAAATAATAATGGTTGACAATGTAATCTTAACAAGTAAGTGCGTTTGATAAGGTGAATTATTTGTATTTTACCATGAAAGTAATTTAATTAAATTAATAATTTGCATGTACTATGACTCATATATTTGTTTTGTAAGAAACCCAACTGGTGAACATGAATTACATTTTTATTAGATAAATGGTGTACGTCCTATTATGGCGATATTCTATCTTTGTCTTTTGTTTCTATCAATACGTATCATTCGGTATAATGTTTTATTTAACAAAGTTATAGGTGGATCGAATAATTAGTAACTTTAGTAGAGAACTGTACTTAAAAACAAACATGGAGTTGCAGCCAGTTTCGTTAAAGTCATCAATATTTTTATTAACTTCTGACTTTATTTATTTCACGACTGGCGTGCACGAATATATTTTTCTAACAATTGAAAAATCTAACATATTACGACACTTTTTGTCTTCGCATGCTATTAATGTTTTCATTTGGAGTACTGCTTTCTTTTCTATTGTCAGTTTGAGATTGATCTCCTGGATCTTGAGGTTTAGTGGATTCACACCGTTTATCAGAATCATTCTGATCACCTAATGCTATTCGTATATTTTCCACCAAATTCAAAGGACCGGTATAACTTTGTTTTGTACCTATAATTAAAAGAATTAATATTATTGGAACAGTAAATATAAAAATGAATCCATTTCACAATATTTTTAGCTTGTAAGTTAAAAACTAATTGGTACGCACTATTCTAACGGCACACTCACCTACTTTTAATTAACCGAATATAGCTCTCTTTATTTTATTAAACAAACCATCATTTTCATTATTCATATCACTTTCTACATTCTGTCTCGCTTGAGTTTTTATCTTCGGACCTGCCATGCCTAAAAGAACATTAGTTCAATAATATGGAGTCTTAGTATAAGAGTACATAATGGAAATGCTCCATGCTAAAGCGAACAATCAAACAGTTTGTTAATATTTCGAAATTCTCAGGGCTTTTATTTTTATGAAACACCAATGAAACGCATGTACAAATTTTTACATCTTTATTTAATTAGCAAGGGCAGGTACATGTAGAAAAACTCAAGCGACACACAAAACTACTTATATATAATTCTATAAAAAAAACAAAGATTATTCAAAAGATATTATCTAGAATATTCAAGGGGCTCGAAAAACATATATTAGGAAAAAAAGTAATGTGAAAATTCACATATATTTTTGCACCTGTTTAGGTATATATACCCAGTTAACTTTAACTACATAACCTTCGGTATAAAACTTTATTTATTCTTACCATCTGTCTTGAACGTAATACCATGTATACTGCCTGGAGTATCACTTTCCAGTTCTGCATAGGTTTGAAGTAATGCCAATTGCCTATCATTCAATTTTGTAGGAACTGTTATTTTAATTTGTAGATAGTGATCTCCATATCCTGTGCCATTCACTTTTTTCAATCCTTTTCCAGTAAGTCTAATTTTTGTATGAGACGAAGTTCCAGACCGAATTTGTACAGTATGATCTTCATAAATGCCTTGTATTCTTATTGTACCACCAAGTATTGCTTGCGATAAGGAAATTTCAGCGTCCGTATGTACGTCTGCACCGTCTCTTCGAAAGTATTTTGATTTTTCCACACGGAATGTTATAAATACTTCTTTATTACCCACAGACATTCGAATTGTTTCTCCATCTTCAACGCCAGCTGGGACTGGAACTGTCATTGTTTTACGTTGCACCTACGTTAAGTTGAATGTGTATAAAATAATTTCCGCATGTAGTTCACTAAAAAAATGTAGTCAGCGAAAATAAAATGAACTATTCATACCGATTGTCCTTTTCCTTGACAAGCAGAGCACGGAAATCTAATGTACATTCTGGTGCCATGACAGTAACGGCAAGTAGAGCGCATTACAAAAGGACCGGTGGTAATTGTTTCCATTCCTGTTCCATTACAATACTGACATTTCACTGGCTTTGTACCTGGTTCACATCGGGTGCCTGAACATTGGACACATGAATCTACTACATTCAGCTCAATTTCTTTATTTACTCCTCGGGCAGCTTGTGCAAATGTTAAATTCATAATAACCTAAAGATGAAATTACGAAAATATGTAACAATATACTATATACTATTTCAAATACACTTCTACACAGAGCTCATACATTTCAGTTTTTCTTGTACACTTACACAGATGTACCAGAGGGACCCTAATGAAAGTTGTCACTTTTTGCTGGTAATGTAGTCTATACACAAAATTCTACCAATAGAAAGTTACAACCAAATTAGGATTTTCCTCTGTGTACTTGTGTTTGCAGAAGAAAATTATGGATCAGGTTAGCCATGAATGATATGAGCCCTTGAAAACATTAATGGTGTGTATATTTAAAGGAGAAAAAAAACCTGTAAAAATTTGATGCAATAAATAAGAAACACGATCTTTTTACTCTGAGTTCAAAATAGAATCTTCTAACTCATAATCTCAATATACATAGATAAAATGAAGATACAACTATCTTCCTGCGGTGTTAACTAAAATTTGTCAAAAATGAACTTACACCATTAATGCTTTGAAGGACTCATATATTACTATACATATACCTCTTGAGCTGCACCAAAACCAAATACTGACTCTGCAAAATCTTCATAATCACTGAAAGCATTACTTTGAAAACCAGCTTCGCCAAATATTTTCCTAAATAACTCTTCTGGATTAATGGTTGATCTAAATTGCCAGTTTTGGCCATAGTTTTTGGTACCACCACCCGCCTGTCCCATTCCCATTTGTTCAGAAGTTGTACCCCATGTATCATATTCTTTTCTTTTAGTATCATCGCTCAATACTTCATATGCCTCTGAAACTTCCTGAAACTTTCTACTTGCATCTGGATCTCCTTTATTTGTGTCAGGATGATACTTTTTAGCCAATTGGTAATAAGCTTTTTTAATGTCTTTTGCTGAAGCATTTTTAGATACTCCTAATACTTCATAATAACTGCGTTTTAAAAGCTGATTTGTGGTATGTAGTCCTCTCTCAGTATGGGTAAAACTCCCTATTGTATCTATAATTGTATTTAAAAATATTATTATAAACTTAGGTGCATTTTATTATGCATAACATGAAACATGCATTCATAACAGACAGTTTATCATTAATCTTGCCGAATTCACATAAATACATGTCAAACTGACAGTCGATTATGTTTACCTTTTATCCATTTTCTTATAAATAAAAAAAGATAAAATTAATAAATCATTTGTACGTAACTTTACACAAAAATTATTTCATTCTTCATATATTATTTTAATCATATAGATTAATTATGTAATAAAACGATTAACCATGCCATATAAATCAAAACAAACTGGTTAAACAAATGTGAAAAATTAAGTATGAAATATATTTTACACTTTATTTTCTTACAAATATTAAGAAGCTAATTTTAATGTTCCAAGTGTCATTTTATTAATAGCTGTTAAGTGTATTAATGTGTTTTCATTCAGGTAGGGGATATCAATTCATTTTTAGGGCAGTAGTAAACAAATGTGTCTAGTAAAACGAGAAAGCATGTAAAATGTAAGGTTATATTCCACTTTAAAAGATGTTTTGTCGAAGAATTAACCAACAGCTGTACGACGTTCCTAAAGAAATGCATAATTTGAAACATCAAATTGTCGTGGGATGTTAGAACTTATTTAACGCGTCAACAAATTTAAAGTAAAGGTCGGACAATCGTAAAAATGCGTGATGTAATCTGCGCTCTTCGTGGTAAAAAATATACGTTACTTTTTTCTGATTTCTTCGAGTTCCAGTTGCCGACACCCAGTGTTACTGTTGTTATAGACCGATGACATGTATTACATCTTTGTACGATACCACATGACAATTTATTTAAATTACTACTATTGATTAAACTAATAGTCTTTGGTCGAAAAACGATCGCGAGTCCTTTGCCGGTCGCCATGTTGAGTAAAAGACACATGGTTGTGCTGTCACGTGACAATCCAAGTATCCAAGTAGTATGGATGTTTTCTAGAAACTGTTGTGTATGTATACTATCTGAAAAAGATACAGAAAACTTTAACATTTTTTTAGGTACCTGCAGAAGCACCTTTTATACCTTTGGGACACGGCTTATGGACAGAAATTTGAGACAAAAGGTTGTGAAATTCATTCGGGGTCATTAGAAGTGTTTTAACTGTATTTCAATCTTCATTAATTTTACTGTAAAAGAGAATTCCCTTAAAATCTGACATAATATACGAGCCTGAGCCCTGTCTGAGATTGTAGCATGTGTTCTACTTACAAAAATTGCAGATCTCGTCGCGTGAGTCAATACCGGTATTCAAGGCGTTAATTTACGACTTCAATGTATTTTTTTCAGTAACTGTACATGTTAGACTTCAGAAAAACTAGAGTAGCGTTAACGTAAGGAATGTCTTCATATCATTGAGCTACCTTATCACTTTATTTTTCATGCATTGTATGTAAACTTGTAAATGTAGGCTTTTAACACATTGATAATTGTTCGAGCAGTTTTCTCTGTACACGATACATATACATACGTAATACTAACAATAAGCGGTCAAACATAAAGTGCGAGAGTCCAACCCAGATAGCACATGACGCTTTGATGACGCCCATTCTACGGCTATTTTAGATCTAAGGCGATTTTAAGCTATCTTCAAGGCGTCATGTGCTACCTGAGAAAGTGACAGACAAGTATCTATTTCATACACTACCCAGATAGCACATGACGCCTTGAAGGCGCCTTAGACCTAAAATAGCCGTAAAAAAGACGTATTCAAGTCGTCATGTGCTATGTGGGTATTGATATTATTATTTTAGATAAATAACACATAAAACGTTAAAAACATTCGAACGAAAAAATATTCGAAAACTCACTATATACATGTAAAAATGGTATAAATATTACATTAGACTTAAGAAAATTGTGCATGTAGTACCAGATATACGATAACACTAAACCTACCCCCTTGAAAAAGGTAGGAAATAGAACGGCAAAACCGGTCATTTGACCGGTCGTGGTAGGTTTAGTGTTAAATATAGATATATACTTGAAAAAAAGGAAAACAATATATTGATAAGTTATAATAATTTAAAACCAAAGGTATTATTTAGTATTATTACCCACTAAAAACAATTCCTTGCGCGGTGAAATTCTTACGCCGTGTGGCAAATTTTGGCGGGAGAGCAATCCGTGGCTTCTTTGTAAAATGGCGTGTAACTCTATGACCTGATAAGAATATTGCTCAGAAAAAATAACGTTCCATTCTAAAAAACAAAAACATGACCAAAGTATCAGTGCACACAGTGAACGAGTAATTACTTCGTTAATTAAGTGGTAAAAATTTCATTAATAATGATACATTAATAGCTAACATACCAGTACGTTCTATGATACTTCTTTGAAGTATCGGGTGGTGAACGCAACTGTTCGGCAGTCAGCAGCCCATTGGTTTTCAATTTCTAGAAATGCGAGAATTACAAAACTTAAGATTTTCAAGAACCCGAAATTTGAGATTTTTTGACAGAACGCTATGTTTCAAAGATTCCCATTGCAGTTGATTGAATTATTATAAACATGTTTATACATTACACTAAATAGATTTAAATTTAATAACAAGGTAAACATCTTTTCTGACAGTGCAGTCGTTTGCAAGTTAACACTCATGTCCAACGCTACGAAATTTATTAAGATACATTGCAACAAATGTATGCTATTGAATGAAAAATGTTTAATAATACAGATAGCTAAATAAGAATATAAATTGACGAGTACACTATTCAATAATCATCGAGAATATCAATACAGTCTATTACGACGCTGCCGTGGTCATCGGTCATCCTAGATGAAATAAACACATTGTCGATAAGAATGTAGTATTAATTAATTGTATCAAACAATACTTTACCGTACGCTTGCAATAATAAAAAGTACACTGTAGCGTATACAGCAAAACACTTAAAATTCAGTAGGCACTCAATGCGTTAACGAGAGAAATTGTATGTTATCCTTCTAATGTAGAAGGTGTAAACTAACAATGACATTCTTCTATATTACTAACAATAGCTTCATACTGCGTATATACTTTTTGCAATAAAGGAAGATTCATTTATACCATCATTAATTGTATTTTCAATACATTTAAAAAATAAATACTTACATATCTAAAAAATATAAAAAATATGAATGTATAAATAAAAATTAATATTTCATTGTATGTGGCAATTTGATTCTTTATATAGTTTATAATCTCATGATTTCTGTTACATACTTGATTTCTTCCTGGGATCAAGTTATAATATAGAAAGGTCGGTGAAGATAAGAAATTCATTTTTAAATAGTTAATATTCATACAAGTTCTGTGTGAATGAAATAAGCGTCTAACGTACTTGCGGACGAAGAATTCGTTTCGCCTCTTTTTATCAATATTGTCTTAACATTTAAATATCGTTACCACGTAACATATCATATTTTATTGTAGTTGAACAGTATTTCGGTATAACTGTAATATTATTAATTGCACTTATATTCTCATTAGTATGTACATTAAACGACACATGTACTCCTCTGAATTCGACAACAGTATGTGCATGGAGAAAATAAACTGGCATGTTTGATCAAAAGTAATTTATTTGTTTCTTTAAAAACTTAGACGTGGAATGCAACTTCTACACATGTGACAGGTATAATATGTAAAACTACATGCTACTATATCCATAATTTCTTACGGCTTTTAGAAGATCAACGTAATATATTTTATTATGTATAATTATAGCATGTCTAGCGTCAATAGCAATAATCCTTAATCTCCGTGCTAACTATTGTGTATATCCCCTGTACTGATTCCTTTACAAGTGAGTATCTGATTTCTGTACCGTTCTTTATCCGTATTTCCGTCGACATAGGATCTTATCAGATATTTACAAATATACAGAGTAATTTAAAATCGCCTATTTTTAAATTTGTTAATCAGCTTCCTTCAGTCACTAATACGTTCGTTTTCATATACTACGCATGAGTATCCACACACACACACACACACACACACACCCACACACCCACCCACACACACACACACACACACACACACACACACACACACACACACACACACACACACACAATTTATAAACACGAAACTGGGATCGTCTCTCGCTTACGTGCTCGAAAAACTGAGAAATACTTTTAAACATATTACGAGAATCGAGGAAGTAAATTACATTGCATAATATCTATTTTTCCGGCTTAATTGTTTATCTTCACAAACCAATTGGAAATTGTCAATTTTTAAACTGAAGTCCAACGAGTAAAAAAAAAAAAAAGAAATTCCATCGAACAGAACATGTCAGCCAATTAAACTTAACAAAGTCGAATTAATCGTATTATTAAACGTTACTTTGTACCCTTAAATTTTAAATCCTTTCGAATCGTTACACCACTGCACACACTGTTCGCGTTTTTGAACACGGTATTATAGAATACATGGTAACCGTACAAAAAAATGGAACGAAAGCAAGATTGTACTAAAAGAAACGTATTCTGTGAAGTCGATCTAAATACGATGTATTCTGTCATATCGAATGAAAATTTTAGAGACATAAGATATTACGAATGTGTATTAAAATTTCCGTTATTCTTGCTGGAAAAGGAACAACGAAAGTTTGACAAGTCTCTATATTTGAATAACGCATCGCATTGGATTTTGAACAGTATTCGAGTACCGTAGTGAAATATTTTTCAATTACTATTCGATAGTTCGATTGCATTGTATATTTCTAAAACGTTACAATCGTTTCAACTGTATATAGTGACATTAATTAATTCGAAAATGGTCTACTTTTCACGAGCAATCCTTTACGCGGGAAACGAGAGATCGTAATCCAGAATCCCTTCGTAAGTTCTTTATACACACGTAGTAGCACGTTTGTTTCGAATCGCTCGAATTCCCTCCACTGATTCGCAGAAACCGAAACAATAATGTAATTATATGATAAGTGATACAAAAAAAGCAACGACGAACGATTATCTTCTAAATGGTGTTCGTGAAAACGAAATTCATGATGTTGAAGTGATTATTTGGTAGTTTCATTTGCGGCGAACAGAGTAAAGGCACCTTGAAAATTTGCGGATATTCAATGTCCAGCACCTACGTTAAATATGGTTTTACAGCAATTTTCGGGTATTTCTCTAAACAATCATAAAAGTCTTCTCGTCTATCGTAAAAACAAACGATATTGTCAACGTTACGATTACCTCGAAATGTTCGCTTTATTCGTGCATGTACACCAGTTCGTTTATATTTTGTATATGTTTACGTTGTAATCAACGCAAAATAGAAAGATAATCCAGAATATTTGAAAACCTTCAACTTATTATTCAAAACAACTGACGGATGCAAATGAAGGTAGAAAGAAAGCAAACGTACAGGTAACGGAACGTTTGTTCGATTAGTTAATGTTGTGAAAATAATAATTATTTTTACAAACATCATGGACGAAAGCTAAATAGAAATATAATGCGCATAAATAATGTTGGTACACTGCTCAATACGATCATAACGATGGAAAAACATTGACATTTTGGTACCGATATAAAATTCCAAGATCCTACACTGATCTAAGTAATGGTCTGTTTCGGACTCGTTATGACACTTATTGTACGTTCTGTAAGTGATAGCTTTAACAGCAAAACTGAGAAGACCTTATGACGGAAACTAGCGAATATGTGTTTTGACGTCTTAGATTTGGTCCATTTTCAGAAGACAACTGCTGCAAGTACGTCTTCGACAAATGCTTAATGTCATGCGTTTGATACAATGACATTACGTGAAAAATGAATCGCAATTAGTTTTCAATTATCAATCAAATCTTTATTATTTTTTTTTTTACTTATTATCGTGTTCTGAAGCCTATTATTAACCAAATTACGGGGAAATCAGTGCCCAACGGTTATCTTGTATGTACATCGACTGTTGTGCATTCAATCTTGCGTGTCTATTGGTTGTATATAGATTGTGCATGTTAGTATTCATTCGTTTTCGAGAACATGTTCCGACTACAATCTACATTATAATGCTAAAAACATACTTCTAATAGAGAATGAAATGAAAATTATTTACATACAAATGTCACCTCTCGAATGAAATAAATAAAAAAACATCCTTTTGCAAATACTTCTTCTATCGACGAAAAATAAAGTAGAAATCATTTTGTATTACTTTGTCAAAATATAAAATTAACTTTCTGATTGCGTGACATTCACCACTGTGATAAGAAAAATAAAACCGCCATGACGCACGTGCTTGTAGAAATATTTCCAAGAGATCACGGGAAGTGAATTTAAAAGAATCAGTTTCACTTACAAGAAAATAAAAATATCCTCGGTAATGGGATCACCTTTCTATTCGAATTATGCTAGACGCGTTGCGCAACATCGAGATACGAGTGACAAGCAAAACACAAGGTGGTATCGTATGTACGTTTTCAAGTAATCTAAATAAGCAATGAAGATCACTTTTAAAGAAGAATTTATTGTATTCTTCATACAAGCCTCGTTTCGTTAAACGTAACATTGTCAATTGTCTTTCACTGAAACCTAAAGAGCTCGTATGCGAAGGCAGAGGTCGGAAGACCTGTGATACTCAACATACAGGTGAGGTGATTTGTTAGATCACACGAAACTTTGAACGCTGAATGAAATAAAAAAAAATATGACAAATGATAAACATAAGCTTCCGACATTCTGCAGTTTAGCAAAATAAGTTACATTGAGATTGATTTTACATGGTTGCAATTTCATGAATTCCAAATGTATTAAAAATTGGTTTTTCGCTTTCGATAGAAATATTGCTACGGTAGATGCAACATGATTTTTGGAGAACGACAAAGAGTATGTCATCTTACGCGACTGAACTTTTCCCAGTCGATTTTCGCGTTGTCACGTAATGATCTATATGCACAAATCTACCATTGTCAATTGCTGGCACGTTGCCTGCATGTGCGAGCCCTAAAAACCGTTTATCAATTTTTTAACCTTTTTTTTTTATTGTCCTCGAATGGTGGAAGTATCAAGGTTGCGTTATACATAAGTTGTCGGAGCAACTTGCTGGTTAGGGGTTGATTGTTGAGTAAACTAAATATATATCAATAACACGAAAGATTAAATGTACATATACATTTTTCGAGCTTGTTATCGGTGCTCATATCTTTATCAACTTTGTCATATAAATAAAATTTGTTTAAATAGAAAAGTACTAGTACATAGTGTTTCGCCAGCAATACATTATGACAATTGGACTTTTCATGGGAGACATGAAAACACGCACATGTGACCTCGTTCCACACCCTTTAAATTTAAACACCAAATTTCTCTCACTCCATGATCAGTACATAAGATATTGTCCCCCTCTCTCTGCCCCCTCCCCTTCATTTACTAATAAAATATGAACTTTAAATAGTTTAAATATACAGAAGATCTGCTATCATTAAAATATTAACGATAATGTCGGTGTTTTGCTGTCAAGAAACTTACTTCTTATTAAATGGGAAAGGATAAACTGCAAAGTAAACCAAAACCTTTTTAACTCACGCAGAATGTTCAGTGAAATTATAAATAATTTACATTTACACCGTATATACAAAGTTACACGTATTTCACACTTTCACGTGTGCGTATACGTATATACATATGTATATCGGCATACAGCATGCATACAGTCATACACACATACATGCATACATACATTTATATATGTACATATGTATATAACTTAAACAAGATTCGCTGCAAGATGCTTCTCCGATCAATGTATTAATCTATATACAATGTACAGCACACTGACGTGCTAAACCGTTTAATTTCTGATCACAAATTTGTACAAATCTTTGTTTTGTACACATTGTTATTGGTCACCTATTCTATAAATATCTATTAATATTTTTCTTTTCTTCCCGTTCGTGCTCAGCAGTGTGTACGAGACGCCCAGAGACTTTATAGCAAAATAATTTTTTGCGGGTCTGTATCAGAAAATGCCTTTCAGACGATAACACCTACTAAACGTTTTTGTTCGTTAAGACTAAGGCGGTGTATAATTGCATGAAAACGATGATATAGCAAATCCTCGATCGGTAAAAGTTCTGACTGGTCTTTGGATAACAATACACGGCCATTACCTCTACTTTGGTGAAGTCTGATACACTCGTTTCATCGTACTTTGTGTGTATTGGACGCACGTCTCATATTCCTGGTAAATTCGAATATACAACGCGAATTATCACTACGGTCCGAATCGGTTAAGAGTTCCGTGCGCGGCCGAATCGTCGATGTATAACCCTCGACTAATGCCGCGTACCTTGTAATTTCGAACGAGCAGATTGTACTACAGCTTAAAATAATGTTCACCTTTTCACGTTGACACGACTGTACTTGTCGTCGATGATTGAGCCACTGTCGTCACTGTTATCAGATTTAACGTACTGTCAAGAGTGTTCTGTTCCGACGTCGCCGTAACCTCTTTCTCGATACACGGTTTCTTCGGTTCCTTGTGCTCCTCGGACGAACTCGACTTCCTCTTGTGATTCGAGCTCGACGAATGAGAACGACTCGAGCCGGACTCGTCTTTCGACGAACGACCGCTCGAGGACTTTTTCTGTCCGTCCCTTCCGTGACTATGATGCCCGTCTCGTCTCTTCTCGGATTTTCTCTCACTGTCTTTGTTATCCGTTCGATCGCCAGTTTTGCTAGAAACGTTATAATCCCTGGGCAACGCGATAATCTTCAGCGGATCCTCTTTGTTGCCACTTTCGCCGATTTTATTATCCGATTTACGTTGGGACGACGACGGACTTCGATGACGATGATGTTTCTTATGATCCCGGTCCCGTCGATCTTTGTGCCGTTGACTTCTAGAATCCTTGTCGTCTCTGTGCTTCCGTTTCGATTCCGAATGCGACGTGTGCATGTCTGACGGTAATTTCGACGAATTCTCGTCGCTGCTGCCGTTCCTACTGTTACTGCTGTGCCGTTCGGCTTCGGTCACGGGAGACGTAGACGTGATCGAAGAACAAGACGATGAATTTGTAATCTTCGACGCGGACAAGGAATTCTCTTCGCACGAGTTACTGGTAGCCGACGCGCAAACTTTGTCGTTTTTCGCTCTCTCCTTAGCCTCGTCCTCGGCCATTTCGATCAGTGCTTTCACCGCGTTCTCGGTCGCGCACTCCATCTTTGATGTGAAAGCGAGCGTAGTTTCTACCTCCAGTAATTGACAATATTGTTCTAATTTTGATATATCGTTTTTGTACTTCTGTTCGGCGATCTCGAGGCTCTCTTTGTGGATCTTCTCGAGCATTTCCTTCGAAGCCTCCGCAACACCGGTTCGCAACGACTGACACACCTCCTCCACATCAGTCTTTGATTTGTAAATAGCAATTTCTAATGCCTTGTCGACAACCTCCGTCGCGTACGTTTTCGCGATCAATTGTCGTTGCGCTAACACCTCTTGCTCGAGGACAACAACGCTGCAATCAGAGGTTGCATCGTGTTCCGACGAGCAAAGATCCGACGAACTCAGATGTCTTTTGCTGTCTTTCGATAGAGATCCTGAGTTACTGAACTTGTCAATGGATTTCGATTCGAGAACGTTCGATATGTTCTCTTTACTAGACGCGTTATTACTGCTACACCGATTGTGATGACGATGATGATCTAACTTATGACCGCTACAGTCGTATTTCTTCTTGTCACCAGAATGACTACTGCTACTGCTGCTGTGAGAATGGCGACTGGATTTATCGTTGGATCGACGCCGATCTTCGTGTCGTCTGTCCGGTCTTTTATCGTCCCTTTTCTCGCCGCTTTGTTTCTGGTCGGTTGTACTATTTTTTGATGATTTGTTATTTATAAGATCCGAACAATTGTCATTATTTTCCTCCGATTCTCTTCTTTTACTGGAAACGGAAGAATGTCTCGTATGGTCTCTGTTTTTACGATCTTCTTTACGCTTCCCATGTTGATCCGATTTCTTTAAGTTCCCTTGATACTCGGCAGCCCTCTCCTTTGCTTTCTTTTCTTCGAGTGAATCGATAGAATGCTTTTGTTCTACACGCTGACGATTTGTATTCTCTTTCTGTTCATCTCCTATACTCACAACTTCTAAAGATTTCTTTTCTTTTATGCGGTGAGACGATTCGCTCCCAACACGACTGTGCCTAATGTTCGGGTTGTGTTGCGATTCCTGGTAATACTGTTTCAATCTCACATGCCACGCTACACTCGAAACTGCTGAGACCGTTCGAAACTGATGAATTATATTACGCGGTAAAAAGTATATGTCGTTGTCGTACAAATTTATTTTCGCATATCGAATACCCTGTCTACGCAACTGATTCAACTTCGCGTCCTCGATCCACTGTACGCACTGTGATATCGGTGGTTCGTGAAGATCCAGTTGCAATTTCTCGACTAGTTCGGTAAAGTCACCAGCGTAGAAAGCCACGACGTCTTTCGTAATCCTGTTATATTCTGAAGGCTGTCCACCGTGAACAGCTTTCAGTATACCCACTGCAGCCGTTGTCATTCTATCCAATCCGTGACCCACGTGATCCGCGTGAGCTTTCGTACGATCTTCGAACATGTATTCACGAGCTTCACTAAGACGGGGTAAGTATTGAAGATTCCTCAACTCATTGATCCCCGTTCTACGTCTTTTGTAAGGACTTTTATTTATGTCTGCCGTAGGAACTAACTGTTCTCCTGGTCTTATCCATAGAATTGGACCATCGTTTGACTCTTGAGGTGTATCCATCTTGACAACAGACAATGGACCCCAGGGCATGGTCTAAAACAAAAAGAGATAACGAATATTTTACTTGATTTTTTAAATAAAAATACTACGTGTAATAACACGTAGTACAAAATAATATTAGGCAGTTACTATTCAATTCTTGTAACACGTGAATATGTGTAACGAACGCCTAATTTACTTGTTTCTTCATTAATTAATAAGAATAAAACAAATCTACCGCATATAATCAGAAAAAAATAAGACAAAACGTTATTAAGACTTGAAAGAGTTACAGATGAAAGATATAAAATATTAAATAAAGTTTTGTATCTGCACGTATAAAATATAAAACAATACATTTTGTAATTGTATACATATATATGTGACTCACTAATTTCGCATGTTTTCCGTGTACTTGCACAGGTGTGTAAGTGGCATTTAAGCAGGATTGACGTTCTATTGGTAATCTAGCATGTGTCATCATTAGACTGTAGATTTTTATGCATACATGGATTTTTATGGACTAATTTACAATAACTGGAATTAACGAGAGATTTATTTACTCTATTAAAAATTCTATCAGATTACAAATGAAATAAAAATCTTAAATGCATAAAACCCACAATCTAATCAATACATTCCACCAATCAAAATTTGCAACCCACGTAGAACTTTATTTCAAATAGTTGTCCAAGTATACAAGAAAGGTGCAAATAGTTTTGAAAATAAAATATATTTCTCTGAAGTTGTACTCACCAGCTTTAAGAATGGGTTTTCTTCTAATTTTTGTAGCAGATCCGGAAAATATCCACCAACTTCTTCATGAACAGTTCCCACTAGACTTATCTGATGAAGAGGTCCATATCTAACAGTTCCGTTACTATATGCTTTACAAACTTGTTCTTTGTACTGAACCATGGTAGTAGTTTCTATATCGCTATTTCTTCCTAACACTCCATTTTTTACAGTTAAAGTGGGATAACTGTCTGCCATGTAATCTAATAAATCAGGAAGATATGCAGCTGCATTGTGTACTATACCCATAACATGATGTGCATTACCGTTTTCATCCTCACCAAAAACTACCTACAAAATCAAAATATCTTCTTATACTTTACTTATATATGTAATTTATACATACTTTTCGTGTGACATATTAAATGCAACAACTTTGGTTGCACAAGTTTTAAAACTATAAATACGTTGCTGTACCTTGAAATACTCTTGCGCCAATTCTTCTACTTGTTCCTGCATTAATGTATCTATTTCATCTTGATACATATGCACAACAGTCGCACCACCATTAGGATACGTTTCTATATGAATAAATTTCTTGTACTTTAGGCCTTCAAGTAATTCACTTTTAAATGGTGAATTTTGAAGCATTTTATAGTTTTTTGTTTGCAAGTTTAACCTGAGATTCTCATTCATAGACTTGGAGAATGCATGAGACACTGGTTTACTGCCTAATGAAACCACACTACGATCTCGTTTGCACTGTACCCCAATGCTTGCGCGTTTTATTTTACTACGCTTGTAACAACGCGAACAATAACGTCGCTCGCTATGTTCCTTACTTCGCTTATCTTTCGAAGACGAATATGACTTTGAATGTGAACCAGAGGATGTAGAACTAATGCAATTTATGGATTTATTATGAGATAGTGCATCATCAGTTTTTCCAACTATCGTTGTAGATATACTGTTACTAGTCCAATCAGATTTAACATCTAATTGTTCTTGAATATCTGTCTCCTCTGTTTTTATTTCAACAACTTCTGTTTTAATATCTCTGTGAATGATATCCATTTCTTTGTCTCTCGTCTCTTCCTCATTTGACTTTATTTGAGTAACAGAAACTTGTTCTTTAGATTTTTCCAGTTGTCCATGAAACGAATAAGACACCACACTTTTGTTAGCTTTAGCAGCTAAATTGTCTGTGTCTTGTTCATTGTATGTTGCTGTATCTATTATAATATTTGATGTTGCTATTGCTGATGTCATACTGCTGGGGAACGTTGTATCTGGACTATTTGGACTACCCGAAACTCTTGGAGGATAATCTGGACTTCTTGGACTATTAATCACTTCACCGCTGCTTTGAGGACTTTCTCCTAATTGTGGTGTGTTAGTATGTTCAAAATTGATACATCCTTCTAATTTTGTTGGTAACATGTGTATGCCACTAGACAATGTTGTATCTTTATTAGATGCTGAATCAATCTGATAAATAAGAAACAAATAACGAATACGTTTCAGATAATTGTATATTATGTTTCCGACCATACTTTGTATATACATTAAATAATTATACATACATGAATAACATGCTGAACTGGTTCTATTTTAGGTTTTAATAGTTCATTATTGCAGTGATCTGGACTTCCTATAATATATAATATAAGTTCAGAATGTAAACATAAATTATATACATATAAAATATGTCACTGATGATTTATATTAACATTAATCTTTTTAGCAGTCTATATTTAAAACACAAACAACATTTTTATGTTTGTGTAATTTTCTACATATAAACACTAAATGAAAATATATTATTTTTTACGTGTCAATACATTATTTAAAATAATATAACAAATTACATTTTCATATTATATCTAAGAAACCACTTTATAATATTGCAGTATCATTCAATTTCTATTTTGCATCACCTATATTGTTGTAATACTTTGTCATACAAGTTATAAACAATAGATTCCCCGAGATAAATGTCAACATAAATTTCTTACCAAAACTATTTTTTAATCTGTTATATACTTGATGAATTTACCATACAGATGTATGTGTTTATATATATACATATAATTCTAAACAATGTTAAATGATATTACCGTTTGGCTGTTCAGTAAGGCAAGCAACATTGTCCAGATCATTCCTCTGGTTAGACATGCTGTGTGCTTCCATGGATGGTACGCGTAATGCAGTGTTGATAGCAAGTTTGTAAGTAGTGTGTTCTTCCACATCACCAGAGGAGCTCATGAAATTTAAGTTTCTCTGTAATTCTTTCCCTTCCGTGTTTGCATTAAACGATGACGCGGTAGAGAAAATCGTGGGCGTCCTGATCGAATATAACGCTAAATCGTCCACGAACTCGTTTGTCTCTTTAACAACACTATCCCACGCTGTTCTGGACACTTTTACATTGGTTGTTTCCCTTCGTAGCGGCTCGAATACTTGCTGAACTGTATTATTTACATCACATCGCTCATTTGACACGATACTTGTACCAGTTTCGGATGCCATCTTGATTCTGTGAGCAACATCCTGAACACAACGATACTACGCAACATTTGATTGGATATTTCCTAGCCGCCTTTCGAACAGACCTTATTCCATTCGTCTGAAATCGGATAAAGAGTAGGGGTAAGACCAGTAGATGTAAAGGTACCATATACATTTTTATTCATGGGAATCTTCGATCTCCAACCTTGTTTTCTCCGAAATTTTTTGATCGTAGAATGCCACATATTGTTAATAATTCTCATATGAGCTGCACATTGTACGAACACAAGCATTTCAGTTTAAAATGTTAAGTATATTTTACAATGATTTATTGGGTTAAATTTCCTACACACAAATGTGTGTGTGACATTACCGATATTTTCAAACTTTCACACGTAACTATTCCATAGCTTAAATTTAAAAACTTCCATTCCTTGCACATCTCTTATATGTAAAAAATATTAATTAAAATAATGATAGACGTGAGAAATATAATTTACGGGGACAAAATGATTTTCAAAGAGATTAAATTGAATTAGATTGTTTTAAAAATTGAACTGAAAACTACAAAAGAAAAATAAACTATCAATGTGCATTCAGGTAACGTACATAGTAAACATCAACTTATTTCTTAATTGTATTTTTGTTTGTATGAATATATGCAGGTGTATATATATTAAACTTTTATTTTTAAATATAAAAACCATTATTTCATTGTTTTAATTCGAATAATCACAGGCATCTAATAATAAATAAACATATAGGAAAGGTGAGAGGAAACAGTAATAGTTTAAATTATATTTAAGTTAAATGAAACTTCTCGTTTTCAATTATCACTTCTCTTTTTTTGCATTCTGTTCGTACACGTTGCAAGCATTGTAGCTACGCATATGATTTACCTATTCTAATACTAAATTTTAAATATCACAACGTTTTGGTTAATCGGTAAATGAACTAAAAGCTACATACTCAATGACGTTCACAAGTACATAATTTAACCACAAAACATCAATATAATATTAAGAATAGCAATGTATTTAGTTGCTAAATGCTTATTAATTTATAATTAGTCAGACTTACACCTAATTTGTTACTTAACTTATTTAAAAAACCGTACATGCATATATGGTTATTGAATATACACCAAAACCAAACAATATTTTTCGTTGATTACTATTTAACGACATTTATTTTCGATAAGAACCTCTAAATAGAAAAAAAAGAATATCTTATAAATAAAATATAAAATATAACAAAACATTGTACATATATATATGTATAGAATTGTATAAAGAAATTGCAAATAGAGTAATATACATATATATAAATAGAATGAATGCTAAATTATGGTGATTTTGTAGCTTTCTTTGCAATCTAAAAATAATATTGTAAATCAATAACTTGATCAATAAAATATACGTATTATAGACATCTTATATATTTTTATTTAATTCTAGCTAAACAGTTTTGATGAAAAAATTTCTTCTTAATTATTTTTATATTTTCTTCCTGTTTCTATTTATTTTGAAATTCTTGCCATGAAAAATTGTTTTTCTTGTCGAAATAGTCATTTTTTTAAGCTTATTTTTTATTACATCCAAAGATTATGTTATAGTGCATTTGTTCTCAACAACAATTATATTTTTAACACATGAAATATCCTAAGTACAATTTCTGTACTATAAATAATATTATACTTTAACACTTATTGTTAAATAAAATCTAGCAACTAATGAAACAATTCATTAGCATAAATTTCTTTCTTTTAAGAATAATATAAAATATTGCATAATTTTCAACTTAATGTGTAAATGACTTTACCCTTATGGTATTTTTCATATTCGTTTAAGGAACTTAAGAAATTGTGTTTATAGTTTTTATTAGTAGTAACAGCTATATGTATACACACTGTGTGAAAAATTGTTCTATGAGGAATTCAATTTTTGTCTATAATTCATTTATTGCATACATTTCATTAAATATGTAACATTCTTTCCTTCAACTTTAAGGAGCATTGGTTCTATGTTACAATACAATGATATGCTATTCTCATGTTACATAGCATGGATCATTCAACATGACTATTTTAAAGGATTTCTGTAAAGTAATGCATTACATAAAAGATGATTTTAGATCATGTTATGGTTTCAAGGGGAGCATGTAGTTATTTCAACTTTTTTTTAGATTCATTGTATGGAAAACATTCAATATTTATTTATACTTTCGTAACGGAACATCATAATATAGAAGAGCAAGGTCTTCATGTAAAAAAGTTTGTAATTCTAGTACTTGATAAGTTGATACAATTATTAATCTAGTAATGTTTGAGTTATTATTGTTCTTACTGAACTATAGTGCTATAGTCATTTGACGATATATAGTTAATTAATTAAACCCCTTGAAAACCCCACTAAATTTTTATACAAGATATTATACCACGTAGTTTAGGGGTAATGAAAGATAGTCATGTTAAATGTTGTATTTAGTAATATGCTAGTTCCATGTAAAAAATTTACACATATTCATCTTTGCAAAAATTATTTAATTCTTACAGTGAAATGGTTTTATAAGATTTGTTACTACACGCTTTGATGAGTTGCAAAATCTTTCTGCTTAAATTCAAATTCTGTAATTTTATTATGAATACTTTGTGATCACTATAGCCATTATCATCATTATTATTACAATTAATTTCCTTTTAGTGAAGTTTCAATATAAAACTATAAAATACAGTGTTAATTATGTAACTATTTTCTTTATTGATTCTAGTTTCGACTTTATAAGCCCAATTGTATCATATTTATAATGTATTGTCTGATAACAAAAGGAAAAGAAAACTAAATGACGCACAACGAAATATAATATATATTACTTTCCATATTATTTCTTTAAAATGATATTAAAATTAATCCTAACAGCTTTAAATTTCTTCATATGAATGCATTGTTTACAAGCCTATAGTTTTGGATACATTAGATTACTTAATATCTAAATGAAGGAAATTTATATAAAAGCACAAGAAACTTTAACTTATCTCTGTATACTGAAATCAATAAATAATGATTACAACTCCTAAATTTTACTGTACCTTTTATTTATTTTTTTCTTCTTATCACACTGAGACCCAAATGCTTAGGTAGATCCTTGACATTTTATTAGGATAAGCACAATTATATTTGAATGCATTATTATATTTATATTTTTACAATGTCGTTGTAACATGTAATAATTAAATTGTAATCTAAAATAAATCATGGTATAAATAATTTAATTATATTACAATTAATGAGTAAATCATGTAATATTTTATTTTTACTTATGGTTTTTATTGTCAATTAATCGGATAGATTTACCGACTTGAGTGCTTATCGTCAGTCTATGAAATGGGTAAATCTATCCATATGGGTTTCAATGTGGTAAGTGACATATCATTTGTTGACGCGAAAATATATTTCATATTGTATAGTACGTGCTAAAAGCTTCATAAACATTTGGAAATAAATACATGACACATTTTTATTTGCAAATTTAAGAGGTCCCTTAGAAAAATAATTAGAATTGTAAGGGCTATTATTACAAGTGCAAAACAATCAGTCATATTTTTACAATCACGATCGCAATGGTCATTAATTATGGAATCATTTCGAATGCATTAAATACAGGTGAAAAAATGTACATATTATATGATTACGCAGAAACTCCTGCTTTAATACAAGAGAAATAGAATCTTTTCTTCTACATATATTTTTAATTTACATCATTATTTTTAACACGTTGATTGCTACGTACAAATCATATGCTATTTTTGATACGTTTTCAACGAAAAAAAAAAAATGTATATAATGGTTTTTACATTTACTAAAGATACGGCACCCACATTTTCATATTTGACGTTGTACTATATGTAGAAGCGATCTTCTTAAAGATGTGTAATAAAAAATTATGGATTCCAATGTGATATATTTTAATTACATGTACGCTATATACTCTGTACAAAAATGATTACAAAATAGAAAGACGTGAACAAATATTTTCGAAATTGAAATCTCTTTTCTTAATTGTACGAAGTAGAGGATAAATGGATATAAATTAAAAATATGCAGTATGATATTATACCCAAAGGTGATATTTCCATAATCAAGTATGTAAGATGTCACTGGTGTTACTACTGATGATTATAAAAGTGTTTCTTTAAGAGTTCTATTTGTTAACACTTGCACATGAGCAAATTGTACAAAGTTACACCACAATATTTCACGGATCTTAAGTCAATGGTAGAGGCAGTACATTTTTTTTTAAAAGTGCACATTTATCCTGGGGGACTACTTCATATTCAATTAATACAGATGTTAAACTGCTGTTTTATAATAAGCAAATTCGAAATAAGCAGTTATTACAAGGGGGAAATACTTTTCTGTCGAACCATTTCGTTAAATATATGTATATTAACATACCTATCAAATTAGATATTCTTGATGATGTATAATCGTTTCCTTAATAGTTCATCATGTTCTTTAAAAAGAATATAAAAGCACATCTATCCATTATATACTCCCTTTAGAAATTCATAATACAAGAAACTTATATTTGAATAATTTACTGAAATAATTCAGTATAAATAAATTAACGAATTGCAATAAGTATGTATAGTTATCACAATTTCATATGAATTTTAACCAAATAACAGGCATTGTATTATACTTATGCTTTAGTGTTTACACTCTGTAATATTAATTCTGTGATGAACTTGAATAATGACAAGTTTTCTAATGCAAACCTAGGAAATAAATTTATTTACATATAATAATCTTAATCCTCCACTCGATATAAAGAAATGTAATTATTAACAAACTTGTATAGCTATACTAGTATGTAAGCAAACAAAAAATGTGTTTATAAGTTACAAATATCTATGTTTTCTTTACAGAATATATATTTTTGAAACTTAGCGAATAGTTAAATATTTCATGCCCAATTCTTTCTGTTAACATAACATAATGTTTGTACAATTTGTTTTTCTATGGAAACAAAATGATCGCGTTCAAAAATCAACTCAGAAAAAAATTGGAAACATAATTCAGTACTTTTGAACTGCTTAGCGATCAACGTGTTAAAATTAAATCTTTTGAATCTGTGATAACGATTACAAAAGGTAACACTTTTTAAGTCAATTGAATTGCACTATCTTTCGTCTTCTTACTCTTTTTCTTAACAGTCTTAACTTTCATGATAGTCTTTCCAGCCTTTCCCTTGATGGGTATAGTTTTTTCCTTTAACGATTTCATTTGTAACTTCATTTCAGTTTTTGATAATTTCTTATTTTTTATACTCCCCACTCTAAGCTTGCTGTTCTTTTTAACTTTGGTAGAGGTTTGAATTGCCGTACCGGATCTTACACAAGATCCGGGTAGCTTGTACTAGGCTGCAACTTTAACTTTTTTCTTCCTTTTCTTCTTCTTCTTATCGTGATGAAGTTCTTGTTTTTTGGCTATACAAAAACGGCAGTACCAATCCTCGTTGTCAGCTGGTGGTACTTGCATACCGACACACACCCTAAATGATTAAACATGTGTTAAATTGTAATGTAATTTATTAAGGTGTCAATATCAAATTGTATGGCCACTCAAGATTATTGATTGATTCAATGGAGGTGTTTGAAAGGTAACAATCTATGCAGTGATGCTCTGTCATTGTATTTTTGAATTATAATCTTAACAGAAAGAAACTGGATACAAATGTCACTCATGTATATTAAGAAAATAGCTTTAAGTAATTAGTTAATGATACGTATAAACTGTGGTGTATTATAGAATTTAATATTATGGGATATTCCTTCTTCCATAATATAAAAAAAAAGGTCAAATATTCATACTTCCAACAGTACATTAAATGTGTATCCCAATATGGATTTTATAAATATTTTATATTTAGAAAAATTACAAAATAGTGATATAAAATTTTTATTTCTGCTTCACTTACCAATGATACCATGCGTCACAGTCATCACAACCAACCATAGGTGATCCATCATCCTGGTTGCCGCAACCAGGACATATCCACACTTGACGACCACCTTGATCCTGAAAGACTCATATCACGATAAAAACACAATATATGTTGCTTTTACCATATTTATAGATAACCCAACCCATCTTTTGTATTATGAAGTGTGCGAATTATAAAACTGTATTGAATAGTTTAAAATACAAGTAATCCATTATTAAGAACTGTATAGTTTGTTTTATCTTCAAGGAACAGAGTTGATAAAAAATATATTTGTAGATATATTGAATATATCAGCAATTTACAAGATGATTCATAAATATATGAAAATATAAAATGATATATAAGAGCAATTGTATATAAAACATTGGAAATAGATCTAATAGATGAAAAATGATTGTGAATATGCAAGTATGTGAAACATTTACAAAATTTATCATGACTCAGGAATGATGATTAAGTGACACAAAATAAAATCTGTCTTGAGTTAAATGATCATTGATGATTGCATTCATTACAAAGTCAAGCGTACATAATATATCATAAACACACATGTTGTTATGAGAATGTGACTAAGAACATGAATACTAGGAAGGGATTAGCATATATTATTCAAGAATTATGGCTTTGACTTGCGGTAGTTAAACAAATTTTCACTTGGCTCACAAACTATGAACATTTTGTAACATAGTGTTACTCAACGAGGTACTTATCATTACCTCTGGCAAAGACCAAGTTCACAGAACCAAGATTAATTATTTTTTTTGAAAAAGTATTTACGTTTTTTAATTTTACACGTTTCATTATATAAAATATTTAAATAAAGTATTATATAGCATGTATACTCAATACAAATGCGCTTGAACATAACTTATTCTTGTATACTATAAATTGGCTACTCTGAAATTTGTTGTTTCTAGAACTGGAATTACGAAAGTATATCTTATACATAAACTATAAAGATTATAAACGTAGCATGTGCAGAGCCCAAGTTCCTAACTCATTATATAAGAATAACTTTTTTTGAAACTAAGAAGATATGTTCTAAGTTTAAATGTAATAATCTGGTATAGTATTATACCATAATTTTGCTAATTAGAAAATAGTATTTTGTTTAAAATACTCTAATACATCAGTGTCACTGACTGGAATATTTGGAGATAATGTATCTTCGACAATTAAATTAATGTTATGTGAATAGCAGCTGCAGTGGATATAGATACCGAAACAATCAATACATTAACTTCAATTTCGAAGTATCAGCAATTCATATTTTATCCCTAGTATTAACATTTAATAATGACAGGTCATGTGACATCATTCAAAGTAGTGCCTAGAGATAATATACATATTACAATGCGTTTCTGGCTGATATTATCAATAGTCACATTAATATAAGGAACACAGTAGTCATTTGTTTATGAACTTAAAATGTCGAAATACCTAGACACGTTATTCCAATTTAAGGAATTAGTCAACAAACCGAATTATTCAATTTGAATTATTAATTTACATTTATACTTAAACGTATTAAATCTTTATACATTTCAAACACATAATTTATATTATTCTGAATGTACACAACTCAGTAAAATTAGAAATATGCACATAATATGACAATATCTCTTTGATGTAGAATTTATTAAAATTTATGCTGTTAGAAAACAACATATAAAACACTGTGTATTAAAAATTTCAACTACATCTATATTAGGTGTATTAAGTTTGTATATAATTACACAAGCTATAAATGTTATTAAGGATATAGATTTGTGCATATCTCGAAAGAATTCAGTTGAAGATTAGATTCCGAAAGTTAAAATTGAAAAGTGCCTAAAGGGTCACATTAACTCAGGCAAAAGCTGCAAACAACGCAGGAATCCAAATATCTCTATAACTTGGAGCAGGTGAAAAATAGATTACATTATCATTGTACAAAGAATACCTAATGACTTCTTTAGTATGGGAATGTACTCACCACAGTAGTGGTTGGTGTTGCGGGCAGCACGATCCTGCCGTTTTCTTTGTCTTCTTTAGCATCGTCCTTTTTAAGAGCTGGATCTGCTTTCGTCTCTGTGCCGTTAAAACCGTCCGTTATATTCCTAACTGTTTCGCATGCTTTGTTTAATGACAACATGCAAATTGCATGCAATCAATCAATTCTTCATTATTTTGCTGACTGTTTATTACCTCCCTTTCTGTACTATAATGGTACTTTACCAGCGATTGTTCTTTTTCTTAATTTATTACTCGTTTAAATTCAATTTTGCTAATGTTATTGCACTAAACGAAGACAGTTATCATTACTGTTAACTTTTTTTTTCACAAACAAGCTTAGATCACATTAGGATAAATAGTAGTTCTGAATATGCATATCCTTTTACCAATGAGTATACATTTAATGCACAGTTTTAACACACGAGGTAATCTCATGAACAAAATATAAATACAAAATGTGAAATAGAATTTTTTTGTTTAAAATTTAAGTTTCGAGAAATATAAAATTAAAAAATCCATCATATATGTGTGATCCAAAACTTGTCTGGCTAATGTGTCTGTCTGTTACTTGCTATTTCTCCTTGTACGAAACACTGATAATACAGTATTGCATCAATTAGCTCTTACATTAAATATTTATATTAAATCATTACAGCAAACAGATAATATCATATTCGATAGATTGCTTGAAACACATTAATAAACATAGAAATAGTAATTCAATAAATATATAGAATTAATTTGCTCATAAGTGAAACCTTATGCGAGCAAAAAGTTATTTTACTTATTTAATTTTTTTGTTGGATAAAGAAACACTCTCTATTTATACCCTGAATATACACCTAACTTAAGCCTATAATTATCTTTCACAATATAAATATCACTTTAAAAGTAAGTTGCGTCAATCGTTTGTGCTTCATTATTAAAATAGTATTTAATAAAAGTTAACATATAAAACATTTCAGTAAGCATAACTTTACACAATAACGACGTGGTCCTCTACTTATACTTGATACACTGATGCAAATAAGTAATAAATCGTCACAAAAGTTTATGTGAATTAGCCTGTTCGCAACCATGTAATACAGCAAAGTAACAAACTTATAAACAGAATATAGTGAGATTGTGATATAAAAATAGGGACAACACGATATGTAATCTAGAATAATATAAATAAATATAAATCAGCTACCAATACTACCAAAATTAAGTTACGTCCTGCAAAGAAGAGTACAATTTTAATAAAAAAAAAAAAAAACTGAAAGAATGTGGTACCTAATCAAAGGTACTTGCCTTTACCATCTCAAGAGAAATAGTATTATGTCACTGGCTGTAAAAATTTTACAAGTGTCCTATACTTATAATATACTACTACTTTTTTATTGTATTGTGTAATGTTTTATAAAGTATTTAGTTCTGAACGTAAAGCGGAATTTTTTCTTATAGCTCTAGTTGCTCATAGTCTTGCTCATTGATGTTTTAATGCGATATCCTCTTAAAAATCTCTAAAAATTCAGTTCATTAGAATCATTGCATAATTAGTTCTATTTGTATTAATCGTTACATTTGTCCCCGGTTAAACATGCTACACGAAGGGCCAATCTGACATCTTATAACAGAGAAAGGTAACTATTCCCATTCCCAGGAATTACCGATCAAACTCAGCTCAGTGCAAACGCAGGCAATGAGATTGAGTGAATGTACTGGAAGCAAACGAAATAATCTCACTTTCCATTATACGTACTTTTATCGATATATTAGAAGTCTGTGCGACATTCTATACCTGTGGCCAAAATGACAGTACAACTGAATTTGTTTGTGATTCCTAATTGAAAATCAAATTAAAAGTATAAAATGAAGTTTCTTTAGAACATTTTGTACTAGACAAAATTGATAGAATTTTGATAACTGATAAAAATTAATAAAATCGTCTGTATATTATTAAAAAGTTCTGAGCTGAAAAAAGTGTTATAAAGCAAAGTTTATTGACAAAGAAGCTTTAATAAGGAAGCAACTGCAGTCAGTTATTCTAGAATCTTCGTATTTTTTTGTATAATATCACACAGTTCTTTACTCATTACGAAAAAACGTAACAATGTTTTTGCAAGGAAATCATTAGTTTCAGGGATATGTCAACTTGAAGTTTGGAATAAATTTAAATATAATTATTTTTAATAAAGGTAAATACGAAAAAAAATAAATGACAGAATGTTTATAATACAGATGTAAACATTGAAACATATTTTTTACAGCATTATAATGAATAAAATGCGACACATAGCTAATAATGTATATATCAGTGTTTTTTCTTACAACACATTTTAGAATATGTAGCATTAACTACTAAGTGCATGCTTGCAAATACAATAAAGGTATTTGTAACTGTAATTATATGAGTACACTTAAGAATTTACACACAAGTATGCTGTAAGATGCAGTTACTACGAAGATCTCTCAAACTACTAGTTTCCTTGTGAAAGCATTCTAGTATATTTTCGTAGCGAATGGAGCTATATAGTAAACATAAAGTATTAGAGAATATAGGGTCAACAGATATATAAATAGTATCAAAATTGAGTAATAGTATAAAATTACTTAATTTTGATATGTGACAAATTTTCTAGTTCAGAATGTTTCATTGATAGTGCCGATGTTATTAGTATGTTCCACCCAAATTGCACATAATATCTTTTTATAGAAGCATCTACTAACTATGAAAAACAATTTCGTCAATATTCTTCAATATCTAATAATATTAGCTATCACACTTTAAATTGACCACCTTCTGTAAATTATGTAACTCTCCAGAAACAGAAATCCTAATTGTTTGTTTTTACAGATGTAAAAAGTGGTTGAAACAAAAGTTGCATAATTTTATATGACATGTGAGCTGGCATGATAGTTTCTTGGAAAAGTTATCCGTTTTTGCGTAATCAAAGTCTAAGAGATTCTATTAAACAGTACATACAAGTCTCCTACAATATTGAAAATTCTTTTAAGATATATTCAAACATATATGGTATGTATACTAAGTTGATATTAGTGCATGATCTTGATGAAAATATATATGTGTTTCAAATAAAAAAAAGAGTCGAAACAGGTAATACTGAAAGCCCCTAATTTGAACATTTATTGTAATTTGTGATATATTCAACTATATATGTCGTGGGATTTGCCATAAATACATCTAATATCGTGTAAAGAATTGATGATTTCTTTAAAAATGTTGGTGACCGTTTATATCTTGAAAACAGATTTTCGAATCATGGATAACATACTACGCAACTATTACATATGAAAATGTATTTCTTCTACTAAGGTACTCTGTGTAAGTACTCATGCAAACTAATTTTGCATTTGGCAAACTTTTGCAACAACAAAATTGATTGTATTAAAAAAAAATAAAATTTCCATGATTCTTTTTCTGTTTTCTCATCGTAATTTGAATACTTCTTCTTAAAATTATACTAATTATATTCAGTTTCATTATTCTTCTCTTCTAAAAAAAGAACAATTTTTAAGCACCTTAAAATATACTGTAAGTGCATTTGCATTGCAAGAGAAAATATCAAGGAAAGAAGAGAAAGTTTAAGACCCAATTAAATAGTAGTGTAATATAAGAAAGATCTTAGAACTTGGTTTCTTGAAATTAATGACGTTTATGGTGTATACGTTCATCGTGTAAACGTTAGCATTTCATAATATTACAAAACAATACGACAAAAGCTGTCTCCAAAATATCTGGAGCAAGTAAGTTCTGAGACTTCTTTCAACGTCAAGAAATCCACCTGATTAACTTGATAGAAGTGCTAAAATTCGAAATTATTAAGTAGTAGATTTGTAATTACAACACGAAATACATAACAACTCTAATGTAGGCTATGAAATTGTTCTACAAATATACTTTAGACAAACGTAACAATACAACAAAGCAGGCCAAATGAAAATTATACCGTCACCGCAAGTCATGAATGCATAGAAAATTAAAAATGAAATGTCGGGAAAATGGGAATTTTTGGATGTGGTAAACTTCAAATGGTATCGATGGGTTGAGTTAATTATTATAGTAAAAGTAATATCAAATATGTGATGATATCAGATACATAATATGCAAACAAAATCTTTCTTTCTATAATATTTATACCTTTTTTCCTTTTTATAAAAGATGTAATACTAACACTTTAAATATGGTCATAATAACGTAACCACGTAATGTTTTAAGCAAAGTAACTATAAATAATAAAAATATAGAAGTGACTGATTTGACTTTGACTAGATCTTATAATTTATGAAGGAAATAAAATAGGGTTGTCACCATAGCTTATTTTGTGAATCACTATGAAAATAAATTATTACTTCGATTAATTATAATTATAATATTAAGTAAATCTGTAAATTTTATAATGTTATGTAAAATTCAAAGTATACTGCTTCCACTACATTCTATGTGTCCTTATGAACTTGTTGAACCTCATTGAACGGGTTCTTTTTATCAGTTAAGCATTAATGGACTTGATTCTACAAAAATATGTTGAACCGTTGCAATAATATTTTACAGGCAAGAAATGCATTATTTAAGTGTATATAAGAATACTGAACCTTAATGCGGAACCTTGAAGTGCATTCGATTAAAGAAACTTTTAACCGATATACATTAACAAATACATGAATGAAATTTTCTTGTATGTTTGAATTATGAATTATAAACGAGAAAGATTATGCTGATACGTAATAAGAAAAAACGTTGAATCAGATCATTAAACTGATTTGTAAATTTGTTCCTTTGAAAATATTAAGCAGTGACATCCCCAAATGAATGGTTTCAAAATGAATTTTAGATCCTTCAATTACTGCTATGCAAGTATTCGGTAACATAATGTTTTTGTGTAATTTGAAATATAGTTTTACCATATAAAACGTACTTACAAAATAATACGGTGGTTGTTGTTGCGGCAGAGGAGTTGGGATCTTAGGAACAGGATCAAAGTGAGACGGAGGAGTTTCTCTCTGAGGTAAGGCTTTGAAGAGAGATTTCTTTGCTCGAGGAATTGTTGCGAGTGGCACACTAGTAAGACTGGCAGAGAAAGTATCTGTAGGAAGAGCAGGGCTTCCATCTAATATTCCCTCCTCTGTTTTCTTACTTGCCGACTTTTGCTTTGGCGGTCGCGTTACTAGTGCTGATATTTTCGCCAATTCTGGACTTGGCTCCCGTTTCGTCTCCTCCTCAGGCTTCTTCAATAATGTCTTTATTGTTCTATAACACATTTCCCTAATAATAACGTATGTGTTATTACACACAGTGAAATATATTAACGCATTGTTTACTTTATTTTATTCCATTATATGTAACTATTTAAATGCAGCTCAAAAAATTAAATATAAAGAACATTCAACAAGCAAAACAAGAGAAAATTAAACAGCGTTAATATGATACACTTATTTCTTTAAAAAATAATATAACCTTTACAATAACGATTAAATTACAAAAAGAAAACAGATAAACTTACATTTTTTTCATTGGAGTACTATCTGGTGTAGGTGGTCTTGGAGAAGCTGTTCCTAATTTCAATGTTATTTTAGGTACTGCTTCAGCATTTTTATCTTCTTTCTGTAACTACCGTTATTATGACATAAATCATAAATTACTAATTTCAGAATATTGGTTACAACGTAGAAATAATAAATGATGGTTCTTAACTATACCTCTTTTTCTTTTCGTTTGTCCTTTTTATCCTTTTTCTCCTTAACTTTTTCTACTTTTTCTTTCTTATCGACTTTTTCTTTCTTTTCTTTCACCTTCTCTGTTTTCTCTTTATGTTTTTCCTTCTTATCTTTTTTCTTCTTTAATTTGTCTTTCTTTTCCTTTTTATGTTCCTTTGATTTCTGTAATTTCAGTTTGTAAACAATACACGATTTTTAAGAACAATGTTAACAAAAAACTATTACGAATGCATAAAAAAACTTCCAAAACGTGTATCAAATTTTCAACCAATATAATTACCTGCACGAATTTGTGTTCAGAAAAATGTACATATATCACTTGTACTAACTGTTACTCATAAAATGAGAAGTGTATGACAAAATACAGATCATACTATTATAAGATAAAATTATTAACTTTATTACATAGAACAGTGTGAAGAATGCATTGAATTTTGATGTTTGTGTTACAAGAGATGAAACTGAAAGGTAGAGTGAAATAGAACAGTACCTTCTCATTTTTATCCAATTTTTCGTTTTTTGTGCCCTTTGAAGGCAATGACGGTACAATAGGTACTGGTGTTGGATACGTAACTGGTGCCGCAAGTGCAGATGATAAAGGCGGTGCAACGGTACTTGTGAGAACTGGTGTGGGTATCTCTTTGTCCTGCTTAACAATCTTCGGTTTTTCTTCCTTTTCTTTTTCCAATCTTTCATGTTTCGTTACTGGAGGCGTTATTTCAATGGGGGATGGTGCTGGAGGCTTTTCACGGTCAAGGGTTTTATTTTTCGATACATTGGGGAAGTCTTCAGTTTTCACAGGTAAATTTAAAAAACGAGGTGGTAAAGGTAAGTTTGGCATTGCTGGATGAGGACCGGGACCACCCCTTCCTAAAGGTAATGGAAATCTGGGAAACATAGGATGCGGTATTAAACCGGGGGCTGGTGGAAACGCCGAGAAAAAAGGGAAAGGAAGTGTAGGTGGAAAACTTGGCTCTTTGGAAAGTTGTGGTTCTGGTGCTTGTGGAGTTTTAGGTCGATCTAATATATCCACCTCTGCCGAGTCGTTGGAAAGCTTTGTCTGAAAAATTATAATAGCGTATCGATGATAAATGTTGTAGTCTTCTCGAAGCAATTAATGCTGCGTGCATGTTTGCGTATGTTGCAGTGCACTGGTGTTAATATCATATAACGCTTGTACACAAATAAATTTCAACTTACCTTTTTTGGACTGCCACAATGTTTTGGGCTTCTTGACTTTAATTCCTTCTTTTTGCTGATCTTTTCTTTTCTCTTCTTTTTATGATCCGTAGGTGTTGTCGGCATGTTTAGCTCTGGAGTTCTCGGAGTGCTTGGAGTTCCTGGCGGAGACATGTCATCGAACATATAAACATCTGATCCTGGACTTTGTAAATCAATTAATTCTCCTGCATCGGATTGAAGATGTACGTCTGGCGTGTGCGGAGCCTTTTTCTCCTCGTGCTTTATCTCAATATCATTACGAAGTGCTTGCTTATCGGTGTTTTCATCAATTATCAAACCTGGAGAACTCTCTCTTGAATCAAGCTCCTTGTACTTATGTTGTTCTGATGTATCTTTATCTTTATCCTCTCGTGGTTTCGAAATCTTCTTGAAAATGTTCAATTTTTGTTTATCTGGTTCTGATGGAAGTTTATCAATGTTCTCTTCCTTCCTTTCCACTGGTGGAGACCCACCAGTGAGGTCAATTATTTTTTCGGTCTTAGCCTTGGGTTCTGATTTTTTTGTTAATTTCGGACTACCAGTTGTCTTAGGTGACATTAATTTTGGAGTAGACGGTCTACTAGAAGAACCTTGTGCAGTGCTTTGTGATTTTCCACCACCCGGCTTTAAAGGTTTTAATTTGGCTAATTCTTTCATGCCAGCCAGTTTTTTAATTTTATTATCGTCTACCTTGTTCGGCTTAAATAATTCTTTCGCACGATTCTTTTTCTTGTTTTCTTTGTCTAGTTTACCATCTTCCAAACCTTTCTTTATGATCTTTTTCGGTTTCTTGTCATATTTCAGTTCAGGAGGTACCATTGGATAAGAACTAGGCTGCGGTGAATCTGAGCGAGTCTGATGTGGTGTTCTTGCTTCAGGCAGTTTGCCTTCTCGAGCAGGTGATAAAAAACCAGATGTGGTCATCATTACACTGTGAATTTCACGCAATGGTCTGCCTTCTTCTAATACTTTTACACGTTTTACTATAGGACTTTCAAATGACACAGGATCTCCAGGACGTTTAAAAACAACTTGTGGAGACATTCTATGAGGAGACATATTCATAGAATTATTAGCTGATGCTCCATTACTTGATGTCAAATCAGATGATCCATTCATTAAGTTTTCAGTTTTTTCTGTTATGTACTCTTCTGTAACATAACAATGTTTTTTGAAGTATAACAGTGTTAATATTATGTTATTCTGGAATCTTCTAGTAAGTAAGAATTGACAGGGATTGTTGTTTCTTTATTTATAGAATTTCAAACTTAATCATAACAGCAGTATATTTTTATCATTGGTTTTAAACTGCAAAGTGGGAAAATCATAAAGTGGACTTCTATTTATAGTTGTGATACTGCATAAGCTACTTATATACATATACGTATATACAGGGTGTCTCAGCTAACTTGATCACTTTGAATAATGAATTAAATGTATACTTTATGAAAAAAGGTTGAGGCGTCGAACTTAAACGGCATCAAGGGCCATATCTTATAAGGTACGTGTTCTTTTGTGGGTGGAGGCATTTCAGTGATTTCAAGGTCACTTTGATGTTTTTTAACGGAGTGACCTATTTTTTGTACTATAGATCGATAGAATATCAAATTCTGAGTAAAAATGTGTTGACCTTCATACGTCCTAAACCTAATAGTTAACGAGATATTTACAAAATAATCACTGTATTGAAGTTGAGGGGAATCAGTTCGAGCACCTATAGTTTGCAGATAATAAGTATGTATTAAAAATTATGTTATAAATATCTTGTTAGGACGTGTGAAGGTCAATAGATTTTTACTCAGAATTTGATAATTTATCGATCTATGGTATAAAAAATAGGTCATACTGTTAAAAAAAACATCAAGGTGACCTTGAAATCTCTGAAATGCCTCCACCCACAAAAAAAGCACATACCTTATAAGATGTGCCCCTTGATGCCATTTAAGTTCTCTGCTTCAAAATTTTGCATAAAGTGTACCATCAAGTCATTATTCATGGTGATCAAGTTAGCTGAGACACTCTGTAAATATATTAGTGTCCTCAATGTCATTATATTTCTTTGTGTAAACGTTCTTATAATAATCAAATTGAATGGTATTTGTGTTTAAAAAGAATAAAAGTAATATAAGAATGTGAATTCAAATGACCCTGAATGAATAATTTACTTTAACAAGAGTGCAACTGCAAGTATATGCTCATGAAGTACCATACCTTCAGTACCAGGATACATAGCTGGTAAATGTTCATGTACGTGCACTGGTCTTGTTACAACTTCTCGACTTCCAGGTTTAAGAAAATTTAAATGATTTTCACGTCGAATTGGAAATTTAGGTACTGCTATAGGGTATGGCACGGAATCTACATTTTTAATATACTCTGCCAATTCTTGTACATCAATATTCATATGCTGAAAGGCTAAACCCATGTCATCAAGATTTGCTTCGGTCCTTCCCACTGAAACAATATTAATAGTGTATACATTAAAATAAAACAAACCAAATTTGTTATTCTTTATACTTATATCAAACTGTTCAACATTTTGATCAAAACTTTATATTACTTACAAATTTCTGCATACTGATGCGTTAGTTTTGCAAGTCGTAAAATGTATTCTTGCATAAGATCCACCATAAATTCTAATGGCGTAGAATTAATCGAATGCCATCCAATTGTTTGACAAATTTGTGCGACGACCATTTTTAAAACACTTCTACTATATTCTGTTGACATTTTCAACTACAACAAAAATAGAACATTTCTATTGGCAATGAAAGTAATCAAATGTGTTTGTATAAAAACTCAAAAGAATTTGATTATCATATTTTACAGGTTGATTACATACCTGTTTGCAAATGTTGTGACATAAAATTGATACCAATTTAATGGATTACTTTTACCACATGATATGTAACGAATTGTGAAATGTAAAATTTCGATTTTACTTACCAATGAAAAAAAAGAATTGTACAAAGGGTTTTTAGTTTTTCAGCTTATTAATTTGAGACACATACATTCTTATTACACTATTTAACTCCATTCAGCACCCCGATGTTAAGTCGTACGTGTCATTTGATGATAACACATGTTTTACTTGTTAAACCTAACGAAGTGTAAACGGTACAAAAGACACAGAACGCAATGCGTCCTCACTGCCTTCACATTTTCCTGTGAACGTATTTTTAATCCTTCGTAATCATCGATGCATATCACAATATATACGATATACCATAATGGCGGAAAGACTTCAAGCATAGAAGTAAAAAAGATAGCGTTGCCTTAGTTTTGTTTCATTTCATTAACATTGTAACGTATATTTAGTACAGTTGCAAAATTGAAGTGTTATAATCACTTCATAAATGTTATTTTGTTAATTATCATCTTTATGTTCGTATGTATTTTGGGTAAATGAAGATGGTTTTATATAACCATAAGTTAACCCTGGAAAGTTTTATTAGAGAAAGGGTAATGTTTGCAGAAGCACTGTATACGTTCTTTTCATACAAACATTCTGAGAAACTACGTACGTGACGTATCTTTCCATTTACACATTAAATATAAAACAATATTGAGTTTAATAACAATCTATAAATTCCAGATCTGACTCATAGGTTACGAATAGATAGATGTGTAACTGTTTGTAAGTTGCGTATTTGTGTAACGGACCTTGTCCAACCTACTTAACGATCAAGAAATTATTAATTATCAATTATTAACAAATTGCAGAATAAATAATTAAATACATAATTGCAGAGTATTATAAAGCTATGTTTCAAAATACGTTATGTGTCTACATTGATGGTTAAAGTAGTTGTCCAATCCACTCTGATAACATGATAATCAATAAAGGACAAGAAAGTTTCCTCTTATGTCATGATAGTGAATAATATTAATCTATTTTGAAAAATACAGGAAAACCATAGAAATTACGAATGAATACTTTTTTCATTGGTATCGGTTTGTTCAGCCAGTGAGTTTCTCCGGATCGATATTGTGTATTATTATCATTGTGTTGATTGTGGTGTTTTAATTAATATTTAATTGTTTAGTGCGTAATGGCGTGTTAAAGAGATTAGTACCATCTACGACGGAACATCAAAGTTATTATCACAGGTGAGATATAGAATAGATTTGGTGCCAGCTTTATTCCTACCATAGACCTAAAGGACAGTGCCTTGTTCTGCGGGGGTGTGCCGAAACACGGAAGGGAAATCCACTGTTAGCCATCTTGTGAGGTTAAATTTGTAGTTGGCTAGCAGTTTCCGCGATTCGCCACGGATGGCGCCACCGGTCAAAAAAAATAGTGGTACTCCGCGATTAAATGCGATTTTAACAGTGTTCTGGTCGTTTATTGTTATTATCAATAACAGAGGATTAATCTGCGTACTTTCAGCTACAAATGGAGTGCTTTATCTAAACGAAAGTTGTCCGTATAACGAAGTAAACGAGTTGTGCTTAACGGGGTCCAGTGACCCTCACGAGCAACCATGGATTCCAGAAGGGGAAAAACTAGCGTAGGGGAAGGGCCTTCCACCACTTGATAATTTTATTTTAACTACTGATATAAATGTTAAATCGAATGTTAATTTGGCATGAATTTCATTAATTCCCAACACCAAGTATGAGACTTTTCTTATACACCACTTTTTCGTGAAAGTATATATTTTTTCCTTTATCGGAAATCGTGAAGCGTGGTGATGGAAAGCACCGATACCGCTCTCGTTTATTTATGATGTTCATACTCCCCAAATAAATATCATTTTTAACTAATTTGTTTAAGCGACATGTTAGAGATTAGCTTAAGACCTTTTAGAGATTTAGCTCTCCAGTATAAATCCCTAAGACCGTTATTTATTATTCATTTCATATCGTTAAATACGATTTTTCTCACAGGATACCGATTTCTATTACAGTATCACAAAATAATTGCAAATATGAAACTTCTTTACCTCTTCTTGAACATTCTAATTTCATAGCCCTAAACTGGGTACCTGAAAGTATTTCATTAAATTTGTGTAAGAGATTATACTACTTCCTAAAAGATTCCGTGTGATATTTGATAGTCTAAAAAACAATGTGCCGATACAGGGTTTCCATTTATTTACGAAACTAATCTGACCAGTTGCTGTATTCTTTGACACTAATTTTCTAGAAAATAAAACTTCTGTATTTCACTTAATTTGAGAAACACGTAGCTGAATATTAACATACGTTCATTATTTAATTACTCCCAATAAACAAAATTTTTGTAAGTAAATAACGTGTAAGTAAATTCGTATGTGAAAAAATGTAAATTTTTCTGTTTCATATTTGATGACTGTCATATTTATCCCTTATCCTTAAACTGAAACATCGGATATTTTTATTCCCGTTAAATCATATAGAATTATAGAATATAGATACACGCAATATGAATGGAATATATAGCACTTCATTTGTGCTAATAATACTCAGAATTTATGCTTTATCGGTAACATCGGGTATTGACACTAAAATGGTAAGGGGGCTTCTGACACCCTCGAAGCATGGGACAGAAAATTACATTGTATGTCAGGTCTATTCATATATCTCGCTGTGTCTATACCTAGTCGGTGTTATAACAATGTTATAACACACTCTGCTCACGAAAAAGCATTCAATGGTAAGCTTCTTCGTATATATCTCGTCTGTGCTATTGAGTGCTTTAACAGGAAGATAGTGTACCAAGTAATGTTTAGATGGCGATAATGTATTCTTTCAAACAATTAACATTGTGGTAATCTGCACAAAGTCATGAAACAAACGGGGTGGGAGTACACTTGCAACTTGCAATTGTGAAAACTGCTTATATATAGAATACACATATACAGTATAATGATTAAAGTGATATAGCCGACCGGTAATACTATTTAGATCACAGTCCGTTTATTGATGTACAATCATGGCTCGGGTGGTATTTAACACGTCAAATAGCCGTAAGTTCGTTAATAACGTTATTTTTTGTACGTATACTAAAATATTATATTTTGCTCCAAAAATAAAATTTGAAGTATTTATAATGACAAGTACTTATGTCGACATAATAAAATTTTGGGTCACTCAAACTATCACTGTATGAAGATGATGTAAAGTTTGTTTAGAAAGTCCTTTAACAACTGTGTATGAATTCGAAGATGTAGTGCATACTTTGTGTAATTATTTCTATTCACACGTACTATGTTTATGTAAAATACGCAAAATTAAATAACAATTATATGCATATTCTTTGTTTAATCTTTATACTTTAATGACATTTGTTGGCTAAGTTTAATGAATATATGAAAGGTAAAAGTATGTTACGCTATCTTGTAATATACGTAACGCAAGTGAACTTTGCTCTTATGATATATGTATATGTATTTATTTACGTTAGAATCACAGCTTTAATTAGATAGTACATTGCGCATATAGATATTTTGACATATTTTTGAATTACGTTCATAACGGTCGAAGTAGAAACGTGATATGATCGGCCAACGTATTAGGACTTCACTGTTAGGTTAGAGTTCGTTTGTTTTTTTTACAGATTCTGTTTATGTAGAATCTGTCAAATTACACATGACAGTAATCTGTGACAGTAAGTAGATAAATACCTGTGCATAGTATATAAATATAAATTCATTGTGACCACTTTAAACACAAATTCTCTAGAAGGTCATTTTTTGCAAATGTTTAAAATGCAAAAATGACTCATAATAATATAAATTTAATTAAATGTTAATATTCTATTTTAACCACATTGTCATCTGTTGGCAGTACAGAGGTTGCAATGGATATTCCAAAGAGCATATTCACAGGAAAAGTTCCCAAAAATCACCACGCATTATACAGTCGTACCCAGAGAAATAGATTCAAGATGGAAAGGTATATAAAAGTTTGTAGATACAAATATTAATTTTAAGTATTTTAATAAATTGATTTGAAGAATGTTCACTGAATGTATCCACATGAAGTATTTAATACATTTTGTAGATATAAACATGGAAAGATATGTAGATGAGACCGATATTTTAATTGTTGGTGGTGGCCCTGCTGGCCTGTCTGCTGCAATTCAAGCTCGTAAGCTAGCTAAGGAACATGGAAAAGAACTTCGAGTTACTGTTGTTGAGAAGGCCTCTACTATTGGAGGTCATATTCTTAGTGGAGCTTGTTTGGATCCAATTGCTTTAAATGAACTAATTCCAAACTGGAAGGAATTGGGTGCACCACTAAATACTCCTGTCACACAAGACAAATTTGCATTTCTTACTGAAAAAGGCAGGATACCGATACCAATTTTGAAAGGAATGCCAATGCATAATCATGGAAACTATATCGTTAGGTAATATTGATAACAATATGAATTGCCATATTAATAAATATGTTTAACGGCTCTTTTCTTAATTATTGTTGCGTGCAGATTGGGCCATGTTGTAGCTTGGCTTGGACAACAAGCAGAAGATGCAGGAGTTGAACTATATCCAGGATATGCTGCATCAGAAGTGCTCTATCATGAAGATGGATCTGTTAAAGGAATAGCTACAAATGATGTTGGTATTGCTAAAGATGGTTCTCCGAAGGATACATTTGAACGTGGAATGGAACTGCATGCAAAATGTACAATTTTTGCAGAGGGTTGCCATGGACACCTTATGAAGCAGGTTACAAAGAAACTAAATCTTAGAAGAGATTGCGAATCTCAGACTTATGGTATAGGGTTGAAAGAGGTAATAATCAATAAGAATACTGTCTAACTCATATGTATTATCAATGTAGATTTGAAATATTTGTAGCAGAAATATTCTTTACCATAGATCTGGGAAATTGATCCAAAAAAGCACAAACCTGGCACTGTTGAACATACAATTGGTTGGCCATTGAGAAAAGATACTTATGGTGGTTCCTTTTTGTATCATCTTAACGAAGATACACCTCTTGTTGCTATAGGTTTTGTTGTTGGATTAGACTACACTAATCCGTACTTACATCCGTTTAAAGAATTTCAAAGATTTAAACATCATCCAAGCATTAGATCTGTCCTTGAAGGAGGAACAAGGTAACTTACGAAACCTTTCACAAATTGTACTTTTTATATTTGTTTCACACACTTTCAATTTGTATTTTAGAATATCGTACGGCGCAAGAGCCTTAGTTGAAGGAGGTTTTCAGTCTATTCCCAAACTTCAGTTCCCTGGAGGTTGTTTGGTTGGTTGTACAGCAGGATTCCTTAACGTCCCGAAAGTGAAAGGGACACATAATGCTATGAAAAGTGGAATGCTTGCAGCAGAAAGCGCCATAGAAGCTATTATTGATGCAGAAAACAATCCTTCATCTACTAAAGGTTTAGAACCAAAAACGTATACTGATAAAATAAAAAATAGCTGGGTTTACAAAGAACTGAAAACTGTTAGGAACATAAGGCCAAGCTTTCATGTTTTTGGATTTTATGGAGGTTTGATATATTCTGGAGTCTCGATGTTAATTGGTGGAAGAGAGCCATGGACTTTCTCTCACGAAGGTAAGATAACCGATGCGAAAAGTTAAATCGGAAACTAATAAATCATTTACTACTTTACAAGTAACAATGTTTTAGGTCCAGATTATAAAAAATTGAAACCAGCATCCGAATGTACACCAATCGAATATCCAAAACCAGATAATCAAATATCTTTTGATTTATTATCTTCGGTAGCTCTGACCGGTACGAATCACGAAGGTGATCAACCTCCTCATCTCACTTTGGCCGACGATACTATTCCAGTAAAAAGAAATTTAGCAGTTTTTGCTGGACCAGAAAGTCGATTTTGTCCTGCCGGTGAGTAATGAATCATATAATTAAGTATAGCTGTTGTTCAGTAATCCTTTCGAATTGGTAGATTGATATTCACGCATTTCTAGCGACCTTTTCCTTTTAAAAAGCAGTAGCGCGAAGATTTTGATAAAGTTTTATAATCTGTTTCCATTAACATAATAAAATCCGCCGTACGAGAAAGAAATTATTAATTTTCTTTATTTCATAGATTATTGTTGAAAATTGCTTATTCGTATAAACATTTGCCGTATACTTGTTAAAAATTTGTTAGAAAAAGAAGCAGTACTATATAATAATTATCCATAATAGAAATAATCAGCTTCTTGAAAAACTATATACTTGGATTCTTTAGTCGTATTAAATCGAAATTCACGAAGCATTCCTTACATCGAAACAACCCAAAAATAGCGTTAAATTGTCGGACCTATCTGGCTATAACACACGATTTCTACTTGTAATCAAGATTTATGTGACGGAGTAACCTGTTTTCTATGAAATTCATTTTTCATCAAATTATCTAGCAATTATTAATTTGTATTGAAGTACTGACAAATATCACAGTAATTTTTTAGAAGTATTGACACAAGTAGAAATAGCCAGCAGTGGCCAGACGCGTAAGTGTCCGATATAGTACGATACTGCCCTCGTGTACGTAATCAAAATGGCGTAGAATGTTAAGAATTAATTTCTGTGTATATTAAGACAACATGAGTTTCATGTTCTCGAAAATAAATAGTGTCTTTGGACAAAAGATAGTAGATTAGTTATTGGTAAGCAAGACATAAGTGTTTTTCATAAGGAGTGCGACGTCGAAGACAAAATTGTGCCCTCCAAATCAGGGGGAAGAAGTACTCTCAGTTAATTTAAGTCTCATTAGTCATGTATACGTCGAGTATTTTGTCTGTCTCTACATTTTTCATTAGGACCGTTCGTTTTCATCCACTCCTCCCCCACCCCTACCTGTATATTCCCCTCCTCTATATCTTTCGTTCCTTTTCTTCTCCTTCCACGAGTCCCGTCTGGGTTTATCGACCGATGTGTCCTTGAACTTGAGCAATACGGGCACCCCTCATGGCTAGACTACCCTCGACCAAGCTCAAGTCCCGAATTCGGGGTGCGCTGAGCTGCTACGGCCGTCAACCTCGCCGCAGAATTTTTTCTTAAGACTCCTTCCCCGAAAAGAAAATACATATTCAGAATTAAATAATCAATACCGAACACACACAGTCTTTTATATGATTCCTCGCGCATTGCACACATGGTCTTACCCAAAGAGAACATTTGTTATTTTATTTTAAAACCAGAAATTTTTATTAATAACAACAGATTCTAAACAATAATTAAGCGTGTTACATTGAAATCAATACGTAACACACCAACTAGGCTTTTTGGAGATCTATCGAAGCTTTTTCTACCGACTTACAGTACATTGATTATGAGTTGAAATGAATTGTTGTGAAAGGATTTCCTTCTTCCGTGTTTGTACTTATATGAATTGATGTTATTAGAGGGTGTAGGATTCTGTTTAGTTTTCAGGTTCGTGAAATTTCCCCGTTTAAATGTAAATCTCCCGTAAGCGTCCCGAGTTTAGCGATCAGTCATTCTGTATCGTCTCCAAGACAAATTCAACGGGCGCCAACGTCCGTGAGTGAGAGAAATTTATACGTCTGTCCGTGCACCCCTTACCACCTTTGATATTTACTGCACTCTATCTTCTTTCTATTTCCCTGGCGGTGGCGACCTCCTCTCCCCAGGATCGGTCGTCGGGGAAACAGGGAGGAGCTAGGATGGAGAAGGGGGGGGGGGGGTGTTTTCCTACAGGACAATTCGAGTGTCTGGAAAGTGGAAGGGAACAGGTTATTACCCCTTTACTGTCTGGCGGAGGGCACAATTTGACCTTCGAAATGGAACTCCGACAGTTCTCCGTCAAGCGATTAGAATCACATGTAGCTAGTGTTAAGAATACATATTTTGTATAAAATAGTATATGCTATTTAAAATAATTTAACCCTCTTCGGACATATGTCACCTCTGACGTGCAATTATAATATATGCAAAGCGCTTACGACCGATAATGTTCGAAATATTTCATTGTTATTAAATAACAAATGTTTGATATGTTTTATTGTTCTTATTGATAACAATGTGTAAAATATTTTCTTGTTATTTTGAAGAATCTTTCATTAAGAATTTACAAGTAATGATGTCACTTTAGATTATTTATTTCTGTTAATCCACAATTAATTTATGTTGAAATATTGAACCGTCTTTACTATTTCCTTTTTTGCGATTGAAACATAATTTAGGCATAATATTTTCAGTAAATTGTTCAGCTGTACGTAATGTTTGGTTATTAGAGAAGGGGTTGCCGGTTTTTCAATTCAGAGAAGTTTAACGATTTCGATTGCTAAAAATGCAATTAGTGAAAATTGATTTAAATATCAATTTTATATATTTCGTACATTGCATCGTTTGATATTTAATCAAGTTTTTTATTAAAGGACTTCTTCTTTTTCGAATAAGAGAAACTTTGTAAAGTTACCCATTTTTACGATGGAGATACACAATGAACGATAACAAGAAAATAAAAAAGCTGACCACTTTCAATTGTTATTTGTTACAGGTGTCTATGAGTTCGTACCACTTGAATCTGGAGAGGGAGAAAGACTGCAAATTAATGCACAGAATTGCATCCATTGTAAAACCTGTGACATCAAAGACCCCAGTCAAAATATTAACTGGGTTGTACCGGAGGGCGGTGGTGGCCCAGCCTACAATGGGATGTAAATCGCAATTGGCAATTGTTTGAAATTTTATACAACGTTACATATATACGCAAATTATATTTTTTTATGCTTATTAAAAATTTGTATAAATGACTGAAGGTCCAATAATCAGTTTTGTAGATTGTGAGAATTGTATATATTTTTTTAAATATTATACAAAGGGCTCTAAAGTGTAACACACTGAAATCAATAATGAACAGAAAGCTTAATATTCTAATACAGTATACAATAAAATTATCAAATGGAACAATTCGTATGTATAAATAATGGAAGATTTACGCGTGTGAATCTTTGGACAATAGTTTATTTTGTAAATATTGTCTAAAAGAATATCTGTGCCCAATAGAAGATTGTTTCACATCAACGGGGATGTGTTTCTTAAACCGAAGGGTGACAAATATGTGAAATCAGTGTTGAACTGCTGTACAACTATAGTATAAAAAATTGCAAAAATAAGTTATACATTAGGATATGATTAGGAAATTAATATTGTTACTCCTGTCCATAAATATTAGAACATCTATTGTAAGTAGCGAAAACGTGATGTTTCATACAAAGTGCGTATTTCACGCCACTTTCATGACTTTATGTTAGTGCTTTTTCTTTTTATAAAAGTAATTATTGAGCTTTAATATTCTCGGGATAATATGTATTCAGTATCATCAGTAATTTAAACAATTCTCCAAGTTTGTTTTATATTTGATAATTGTCCAATACTTGTGAACGGGAGTATACATAATTTCGTAACTGCCATCTTGGAATTGTCTTTCTACATTGACATTGCCTTGTAACGATTCTTTTGTAATATTATTAATCTCACTTTTAAACATCTTCGTGAACATTAACAATACATTTAAATCATGTATCTTTTTTACGATTGTATATATTTAATTCTGTTCAATATACATATTTTTGAAAAAGAACTTTACGTGCATGTACCTGTTTCATCCACTATATGCGATGGTAGGGCTCTAGCGTAACGCTGATGGCAAAAGGGTTGATTTCCTTCGTTCCATCCACATCTTCCAGTTTTTCAATAAATTCGTTACCCTTAAAATTGTCTGAATCCCATGTCCTGCCGCGACTATTTTTACAAACAGAACTGCAACCAGCGAGAGATCTCACTGTTCTATCGTAGACCAGGAACGACGGCTATAGAGTCAGAAGATACCGTTAGTTTTGATTATTTTATTTCCTTCGTGCGTGCATTTTAGACTTTTTCGATACCGGCTACTTGCAATTTAGATTTCGCTAACAAAAGAGAATAACAGACAAAAGACTTGAACCTTTGGTCTGTAGTTCGCCACGAACGCACGATAACCTGGGACCCATCCGCGCCGGGCCTTACCGAGGCGCGCTGACTCGCAGCCAATACGTCCATAAACCTTACCGTTGAGAGACTCTCGAAAATTCGTCACGGTCAAGTCGCATTCACGTGATCGATATTTTTCTGACGTCCGTTTTGCCCTGAAGGAGAGGTTTTCCACCTCCATGTCGCTTGGAAAAACCCAAAAATTTGCCTTCCCCTTCAGGGCGTAACCAATTAGAAGGCGAATATTGGTAACGCCTTCGGCGAACCTGGAAGAAGCACGACGTCACACGAAACTCGTACATTCGTAATCGAGTCATTTGAAAACATTCATTCGCAAGCACTCGTTGGCAACTATTCGTGAGTTAACACTCGTATACAGGATGTAACAAAAATATTGTCCGACCCGGAAATGGGGTACTCGGGAGGTGAATTGGAACAAGTATTTCCTTAGCAACAATGTAATCCGAGGCTTCGTTGCCGAGATATTAACGAAAAACCCCGACCAATCAGAGCGCGAGTTTGCCAGCCGAGTTCCCGCGGTAGCGTTGGCTGCAAATCGCAGCGCGTAGTCACCGCTACCGCGGGAACTCGGCTGGAAAACTCGCGCTCTGATTGGTCGGGGTTTTTCGTTAATATCTCGGTAAAGAAGCCTCAGATTACATTGTTGCTAAGGAAAAACTTGTTCCAATTCACCCCCCGAGTGCCCCATTTCCGGGTTGGACAACATTTTTGTTACACCCTATAGACAACTCGCATTCAATCATTCCCACCGTATACTATCCTTCGACAAGACTCGTTGACAGTTGAACTCGCGTTGAGTGATTCTTACGAACGAGAATCTTGAAACAGTTGCCTAATATTAAATTGGCGGGCAATAGTCGCAACTGGACGCGTACCACGACGGCCGAGCCCAGGATTTACAACTTCAGGCGGATTCAAAAGAGAATTCGCGTATCACCAAGGAGAACGAACTCACCAAGGACAGACAGTAAAATGAATACCCGTCTCTGCGGCAAGATAGCAATTCCTCGAAACGAAATAATTCATGGTGTGTTGAACTGTCAGTCAAAATAAAAAAATGCAAGAGAAGATATGTAATCATCGATTGCATCTGAATTACGTGCATTTCTCTTGGCTGGATACACATAATAGTACATGATAATACGCGGTAAATAATTTATCCTGATCGATGAAGGGCGAAAGCGGTGGGGGTTCGCTCGCGAAAATACATCGTGAAAATGCATCACTATTTTTTAGAAGGCGAACGACAGATGATTTATATCCGTTTTACGAACGGTTCTAAGATTGACGGCGAGATTGAAAAGTTCGCGTGAAAGATTTGCCAAAAGTGGGTTCGAAAGTTTGCGTAAAGAAAACATTTGCTTTTTTTTTGTCATTTTGCGTGTGTGTACAGTGTTAATCAAGGGGACATTAACATCGATATGGCGTCTAAAACAGTGATTACCTATCCCATCGAGTTTTGTCTTCTTTTGGTCGGTGTTTGGCCGAGATCGTCCTACAGAATATTCCAGCGTATCGTTTGGTCGGTCGCGATGGTGTTCACGTTATCTAGTCAATTCTGGTATTTTGCTAAAAAAGATTTGCCCGATTTACTGGACGGCTTGAGTCTCGTTTTCTCGAACCTTGTTGCGTTCATTAAGCTGATTATCCTTTGGTTGAATTACGGGTAAGAGACTCGGTGCCTTTTAGACAAGGATAATGAATATGAGTTTAAATGTACTTGTTAATAGAATAATCGGATTCGTATCGTTTAAAGTTCTTACAAAGGGATTGTTACAATTATGATATTAATTAGGCGCAATGAATATTAAGTGTATCAAAGAGTAATTCAGCAATTTTTGTAATAATCTGATTATTTAAATTCCAAATCTTTTCTCAACGTATTAGTTCTTCTCAATATTTTCATGGGAAATAGTGGATATAGAGTTTCGATTTCATTAAAAATATGTACAATTTTAACTAAACATGAGGTGTCTGTTGCTAGTATTAATTGTATAAATATATAATTTATTATTTCTACAACAAGTAATTCATTGTTTTGTTAAATTCAATATTCGTTTTTAAGGAAATCCGCCATCTTTAAAAAATAAAATATAAAGATATTTTCAATTTAACACATTGGCGTTTGGTAACTAGAAATCTCGTTTTCAAGGGCGTGTAGTATTTATTTATTATTCCCTAATACGGGTATTATTATACAATATTCTACTACCTGTTGTTCGATCAAAATTTTTTTTGGCTAATACGACATGATTCAAGGAGAGCTTTTTGATGATTGTACCAAATTTCTTGTCAACCCTTTTTCCAGAGTTTCAATAGTCACCTTCAATTTCGTATAGATAAGCCTATAATCACTTAACAAGCCCTAAAAAGGGTTGACAAAAGATTTTATAAGAAAAAAATTATTTTTTATGATGCTTGCCGAATTCAGCGTAAAAAAATGATAGGTTATGTTTATAAAAATACTGAAGGTAACCTTGAAAACACTGGAAAAAAGGGATTGACAGAAAAATTGGAACAGTCATCTTAAAGCTCTCCTTGAATCATCTTATATTAGCCAAAAACATTTTCGATGGAACAGCTAACAGTAGACTAATCTAAGCTGATCACGTTTCGTGGTCCATCTTGTATGTATAACAATCGTAAAATTGCTTTGTACAGGATATTCTTCAACGCTCTAACAATTGTTTTTGAAGACTGGGATAACATTGCTCTAAGCGGTCGGAACTCACGTTTCATGCTGGAGAAGGCCCTCACATCCTTTCATGTATCGAGATCTCTAATATACATTTATTCGGCGGCTTGGATTTTGTATTCAGCGAGCGCCATGATGATTACCGACGGCACAGACGAAGGATCCGTGTCGAATCAGAGGAAGTTGTTGCTCAAAATGAAGTTTCCATTCGAAGCGACGGTTTCGCCGGTTTACGAAGTTATTGTAATCGCGCAGTTTCTGCTCGAGTATACCGCGGCTCTCATCGCGGCCATGTTGATGGCATTGTTTGCAGCATTAGTGAGTTGTTTCCACTGTGATTACCATTTCGGGATTATGCTTTCCATCTGAATATCCACGGAATAAGTAATAGTGAACTTAATAAGTAAGGTGGTCAGGGGGGGGGGGGCAAAAATATTAACACATCGACTGCCACAGTGAAAAAGGTTGTACGTAGCCAGACACACTTTATTTTCTTTTTAATATATTAAATATTACGCAAAAATTTTGTAACTGTGGGAAGGGTGGGGGTAAAATCCATTTTTTTTTATAGGGTGGGGCAAAAGACATTTTTTTCCGTCCAGGGGGGGGGGGGGCCCCTCTGGCTACGCCGATGAAGAAGTATATTCCAAGTTTGAAATTTAGAAAAAAAAAACGTTGAATTTCAAGCAATTATTAATTATTCTGTACTAATAATAATGGTAAAGTAATTTTAAATGTTTTAAACATTTTGATTATCGATTTTTCAAACTTTCAGGTGTTACATATAGGTAGTCAAATTGACGTGATGTGCCAAGAACTAATGGAGATTCCGAATCAACGGAAAGAAGATAGACTACGCGTGTTCCGAAGTGTCGTCGTTAAACACCAGAGGATTATTTATTTATCTACAAACGTTAAAGATCTATTTACTTATATATCGTTGGTGCAATTTTTAGCAAATATTCTAGTCATCTGTTTTTTAGGGTTCAATCTCGTAAAGGTGAGTCGATTAGTGTTCTGGCTTCTAATTGGAT